TTACGGGATTTTAATTTCTCTAATGTAAATGATTTACTGCTCTAATGTAATGTTATAATGCATCACAAAGATGGGGAATTTTTTGTTTTTAATATATAGTATAAGAATTCAGAATTCCCAGTACTTCAAGTAACACTTTCTCTTTTATTTGTTCTAAGAATTCAACTCCAGTAATCATTTAAACACCATCCTCTACTGCTTTCTGGTTATCCATCTGTATTGCCTCCTTCTCTCATAGTCAGCTCTTTTTGTAGCTGATAGCTGTGAAGGCAAACATTTCTTATCCTGAGCTTTCAATAAATTCAGTTTTATCATGACTCTACCCCTGCTCCCTGGCCCCTCAAGCACGTACCTCTCCTTCTGCCTCTGGGCTGCTGCCTTCTCAGAAGACACAACCAGGCACCAGCTGCTCTAGGTAGGTGAGTCCTGAATTAATTCCCTCTCTTTCAATCCCTCCCCAATCCACACCCAAGTCTTGCCCTTTTTACCTCCTAAATCTCTCTCTGATCTGTGCATCCACATCTCCTTGGCCACCACTGTAATGCAGATACTGTGAGAGCCTTCTGAGTGGTCCAGCTCTGGGGAGGGTCAGACTTCCTGAGATAGAGGGATGGCGAGATGGCACAGGTAATCAGTGGCAGGCTCTGCATATGCCCAAGCAGCACCTCTGGTGGGGTTGACCTTGAAGCTGAGAACCTTAGTGCTGGCCAAGGCTGGTGTGCAGGGAGTGTGTGCTCTGGGGACGAGGCTGGGCCAAAGTGCCTCTGCAGAGGTGCATGAGGAGCAAGAAGAAGTGATTAAAAACGAGGAATGTACTTCATATTTTCCCATGTGTTTGCCAGTTCTGCCACTTTTCATTCTGTGTTCACTTTCTACCTGATACCATTTGCCTTTTGTCTACATTCCTTGCCTCAGCATTTCTTACAGAGAAGATCTGCTGGGAGTAGGTCTCTCAGCTGTAGTTTGTCAGATTAAGTCCTTGTTTTGCTTTAATTTTTTAATAATATTTTCTTTAGGTAAAGAATGCTAGGTTAAGAGTTTTTTGTTTCTCATTTGCCACTTAAAGGTTTTGCTCCATGGCCCTCCGGCTTCTGTAGTTGCTCATGAGAAGTGTTATGTTGTTCTCACTTTTGTTCCTCTGTACATATTTTATCTTTTATTTCTCTGGCTCCTTTAAAGATTTTCTCCTTGTCAATGTTTTTCAGCAAATTCATTATGATATGCCTTGGTATTCTTCCATGTCTTTACTTAATGTAGACAATCTTCCTTTAGCTTCTTGAAAATATAGTTATCACAGATGTTTGAAGGGACATGTCTGCTAATTCTATGACCTCTGTCATTTCTGGATTTGTTTTTATTGATGTACTTTTCTTCCCCTCCCCCAAGTATATATTCTTTTATTAGATTATACAGATATGCTAACTTAAACAGACTAATGATCCTAAAACTAGAGCAATGATATTTCAAGTTACATACCTATAAGCCATCAATAAATTACTAATATATACATAGCTCATAATATTTCAAAAGCTACTTAAGCATCTTTTATTGAAATTATGATTACATTTGCTGTTGGGATTACATAGAGTTAAAGTGAACTAAAAATTATTTTGAATTTTATCTGTTTGAATAATATTAATAATGAAGTAGTGTTGATACTTCCATGGTATTGATATATAAAGCAATTTCTTTCCAGCTTTATGAGATATAATGACATATAACACTATTAGTTTTAGGTATAGCATGATGATTTGACATGTATATATGTTGTGAAGTGATCACCACTGTAAGTTTAGTTAATATCCACCTCACTTAGTTACAAGTTTCTTTTCTTGTGATAAGAACTTTTAAAATCTACTCCCTGAGCAACTTCCAAATATTGTTAATTATAGTCACCATGCTGTACATTATGCCCCCAGGAGTTATTTATCTAATGTACTTTTCTCCTGGCTGTTAGGTATATTTTCCTGCTTTATTACATGTCTGCTGATATTTTATTGGATGTCCTCTATTGTGAGTTTCACACTGCTGGATAACGGATTCACTTTTAAAATGTGCTGCACTATGTTCTGACACCCCATTATAGTTTTTACAGATATTTTGATGCTTGCTTTTAAGTTCTGGTCCAGAGCAGCTTTTCGTCTATGACTAATTTAGTCCCACTACCAAGGTGAGAAGCCTCTGAGAACTCTTCCTGATGTGTCCCGTGTATTAGCACATTTCTTCACTCCAGCTGGCGGGCAGAACTATCCGCAGGCCGTGTGCTCTCCAGGAACTGCGGGGCGCTTTCCCCAGCACCCACAGAGCAGTACTCGGGCAGAGACCGAGCACTTCCTCTCTGTGCGATTCTCTTCTCTCTGATACTCTTCCCCACAAATTCTAGCCTCCTCAGCCTCCTTGAACTTCAGTCTCTCTCTCCTCAACTCGAGGAGGTGGACAGGTTCTGTCTGAGTTCCCACAGGCTTAACTGCAGCTTGAACACTCTGTCCAGGCAATTAGCTGGAGTGAGCACAGGTCTCTCATTACTAGTTCCCTTTCTCTCAGGGATCTCAGTCCTGCAGTCTGCTAGGCAATGCCCCAAACAGCTTTTCCCCATTTATTTTGCCTAGTTTTCTAGTTATTTATGGCTGGAGGACAATTTCACAACAATAGTCCTTTGTGAGCTTACATAGACGTCCCCTGTAGTTCAGTTTTACGTGTTTCTCTGAGGCCCCAGACATTGGTCGTCTTTATGGGAACTCTTGGCTCAGGATTCCTGCACCATGTGGTGCGGTAAATTTGGATCCCACAAGCATGCAGCACTGGTCTGAGGAATCCATTAGCTCTGTGTTTCTACCTGGAACAAGCAGATGGCAAGCTTCATTTAGTTTTTCCATGTCAGTTGGTGATATTTCCTCAATTTCTCTTTTTTTGACTAAGTTACCCTCTGCCCTTCGTGCAGAGGTCTCTGTACAGCTCCCCATCTTGAACAATCTGAGTGCACATGTCTCATTCTGACAGTGGTATTAAAATTCCAGTCCCAGACCCTGGGGCTGTATTTAAGTAAAATTAGCATTTTTACATTATATAGTCTGTGCACATTCGATTTTTAGGTACTTGTAATGTTTTAGATGACTTACCCTAATAATATCAGCTTTATGATTTTTACTTAAAGTGTTTAACAATGATTTTATGTTAAAGTCTTACTAAGTTTATATCAATATAAAAACATTTGAAAGAACTAAAAATTTTCCATATTTATATACTTAGTTTTATAGATAGTTACTAACTAAGGTTTTGGAAAGTTTTTGTTAAGTCAGATAATAGGAGTACTTAAAATGGAAAGCAAATGTATTAATTTATTAATACAGTTTAAGAAGTTAAAAGGAATTTAGTTATACTATTAAATCACCCTTAACATAAATTTTTGCATTGCCTATGTTTTTTAATAGATAAGTAAGATTTTAAAGGTAAACTTCAAGGATTTTGAAAGATCTAGATTTTTTAAATTTATTACTTTAATATATTGGTTATTGAGTTTATATAACTAAATTCTGAAGTCTTTTCTGTGCTCTGCCATGATCCTCTGCATACCCATAGGTCACAGATTCATGAATTCTTGTGAGTTAGAACGACTTTCAACATCGTTAAATTGATAGATCTATAGTTTCAGTTCTATTTTCCCTGTAGGAACAGCAGCATTTTACCTAAGTCATTAAATCATGATGTGTCATTACAATGGCTGAAATAATTCTTATAACCATTTTATTGAAGTCCCAGCTTATAGAGCTATGAATAGGAAACCTATTTCCCTCCCTTACTGATACCTTTTTCCATCAAGTATCTCTCTGCTGGATGGATCTCAGTGATGCACACTTTGCTTTTATATTTCACACAACTTCAAGATTTGGAACACACTATTTTAAAACTGTGTTTTCATTGGATTCAAAATTCTTCTTGTTTTCTCCTTGGTCTGGGCTTCAGTGGCATGGAACGAGGGGATGGGATAGCAGGTTCTGCTTGCACACCCCTCCCTCCCTTATCCCAACACTGGGACTCGGCAGTGGGGGTTCCGTGAATAGGTGTAGCGGCCTCTCACTGCAGCCCCTTGGCATGTGGATCTACATGTCCCTCACCCCTTCTCATCCTTGGTGCCCTGCTGGTGTCCCCTTCCCTCTGCGTCCCCTTGTCCAGAGGGAGCCCTGCTGCTAAGGCCTGCCGCCCCTCGGCCCTTCGGAAGCTCACTGACTTGCCGTGCCTGTTAGTGAGAGCACAGCCCAGAGTTCCCCGTCACAGCGGCAGCACGGGGCACTGGCTGGACAAGGGAACCAGGAACAGTCAGGTGAGAGGCAGTTTCCAGTCCCGAACTGTGCAAAGGAGGGGATGGGTAGGTGTCCATCCAGTCTGCATATGGGACTCTGTCACCCGATCCCTGATCCTTGGCAGAAGGAAGTTAGGGGAATCCTTCTTTCATCATTACTATTTTCCTGCAGTGTTGTGAGTGAGTGTGTGTGTGTGTGCGTGTTGTGGGGGTGATGAGGGGGGTGTCGGCTGGTGGGTAAGGCTGGAGGAAGGACTAAATTTCCTAAGCAGAATGCTGCGTGCGTGTCAGCAGGCCCTGCATGGAGGGGCAGGCCCCAAAGCTGGCAGTTCTCTGAGCCTAGATGAGGGATCCTTTTTTCTTAGCTGTGGGCCTTTCATTACCAATTCTGTCACTAACACCCCACACCGTATTATTATCCATAACTGACACATTCCATTCCATTATTTTGGAATAATGGAATTCATCTTAGTGGTGGAATCGACTTGACAGCACAGCGAGTTAGCAGTGACAGTGACATCAAGTCACACCTCTCAAGCTCTCCCGACCTCGGACTGCATACCTCATCATGCTGTGAAGGCGCTGCCTTATCCAGAGGAATACAAATCAGAAGATGAGCGACAAGAAAGGCAGAGAGAGAGATGCAGCGGAGGGCACCGAACTGAGCAGCCAAACATTCAGGAAGAGAGAGACACTGGCGGGAAGAGGAGAGGTGTGAGGACTGTTTATTAATGCCAAGGAGGCCCCAAATCACAGGCTGCCAACAGACGCACATCACTATGGTAACAACACACAGAATATACTGCTTCGCTTAACACCTTGTCTCCATCTGCACCAGGTGCTGAAGAATGACTGCAACCCACGAGATTACTGGTAAGGGTCTAGCCAAGCCCAAACTGCTCCAGCACATCCATCTGCTCTCTGACCATCATTCAACATCCCTGTAACTTTATTCTGGTCTTTTCCTTAAAACTGTTTCCTAATATTTGTGCTACCAGTGTTATTTTCTTAACACATAATTCGTAGATAAAGAAAAACTATTAAAATGTTGTTAGTTGGTGCTTTTCTATATGAATAAAAGATTTCACAGTATTTCCCCATGCCAACACAAAAATAGGGAGTGGAAAGCATGAAGATGTCCCTGCACTTCCCCCAAACCAGATGCACACAGGTGCCCGAGGCAGCTCAGTGTGGCTCCTCTCACACGCCCTCCCAGTGACCCTGGTCACTTGGACTTCTTGGTGCCTGGCTGTGCCTTCTCAGAGGTCATTCTCGCCTCTTCCTCCGGTATGAACACACTGATAGTGAAGTCGCTTATCTCTGAGCCGTACTTGTTCTTCACAACCAGCCCGTATTTGCCGGAGTCGAAGGTGCTCACGCCGCTGATGCTCAAGTAGGCAGTCTTGCCGGACTCGAACTTGAGACTGCAGTGGCTATCTGAAGCCAGGGGCTTCTCATTCTTCAGCCATGAGACCTCTGGAGTTGGGTCGCCCCACACGATGCAAGTGAGATTAAGTGCCTGCAAAACAGGTTTTATGAGAAGGAAGGAGATTCGTCAGATGTAATAATCCAAGAATGGTCTGGTGGTCCAGTATGACCCATGTAGAACAAATATAGCCCTTCCAACCAGGGCTTAAGGTGGTCATGTGTAATGTGCCTGTGTGAGGGAGTTTGAAACCAAACCTGAGTAGGTGTCTCTAGGGTGTCAGCTCCCTGGATCAGGAACGCCTACCATCCAATCACACAGAGGAGCGTGGTTCCCATTCCCATCTCCACTGCCACTTTCGTAAACACACAGATGCCTTCTGTTCTAAGGTGCCATTCTGACTCTGTCTCAGTAGAGGGATTTCCTTATTGCCATAATCACCACCTGCTGACTTGTGCACTTCATCTGCCTCACAGAGCTCAGCAGCAAAATCCTAACAGCTGTTTCAGATAATGTGACTAATTTTCAAATCCCATCTTCTCCATTTTCTTTCTCCCAAGTACCATCCAATCTGCTGCAGTTGCAAAGGTACTCTATCAAAATGTACTCCTATTTCCTAATATTTTATTATATTACCTTCTGTGCTAAAATCCTCTTATTTTAAAAGATCAATGTTTAGGCCTATAGTTTTACTTTACTTTACTTTTTGGCTGAGAAATTATTTAGATAGTTGTAAATTCAGTGCAAAAAATAATAGAGTGATCCTGTGTACTGTTTCCTCCAACAGTAACATTTTACAAAGCTGTAGGATAATACTACAATGAGGGCATTGACACCAATACCAGCCATTCTTATGTAGATTTCCCCAGGTTTACTTGTACTCATTTGTGTTCAGTTCTGTTCAGTTCTATCACCTGTCTAGTTTCATGTATCCCCCAACTCAGTCAAGATACAGAATGTTTCCATGACCACAAGAATCTCCTGTGTTTCCCTTTATAACTGTCCCCCACCCCACACCAACCTAATTCCTAACTCCTGCTGATTTGTTTTCCATTTCTATAACTTTGTAATTTCCCAAACATTATACAAATAGCATCACACAGTATGTAACCTTTTGGGATTGCTGTTTTCACTCAGCATAATTCCTTGTAGATTCATCCAAGTTATTGCAGGGATCACTAGTTTGTCCTTTTTTATTGCTGAGTAGTGTGCCATGGTACCTATATACCTCTGAAGGTCATCTGTGCTGTTTCCAGTTTTGGGCTATTATACATGAGGCTGCTATGAACATGTGTGTACAGGTTTTTATGTGAACATACATTTTTATTTTTGCCCAGGAGTGCAACTGCTGAGTCATATCATAAATACGTTTCATCTTTTAAGAAACTGCCAAACTGTTCACTGCTGAATTTTATCAAACATTTAGAGAAGACCTAATACCCATTCTCCTAGAAGTTTTCCAAAAAGTAGAAGAGGAGGGAATACTTCCAAACTCATTCTATGAGGCCAGCATCACTCTAATACCAAAACCAGGCAAAGACACCACAAAAAAAGAAAATTACAGACCAATATCCCTAATAAACATACATGCAAAAATACTCAACAAAATATTAGCAAACTGAATTCAAAAATACATCAAAAGGATTATCCATCATGACCAAGGGGGATTTATTCCAGGGAAACAAGGAGAACATAATATTCATAAATCAATCAATATCATATACCACATTAACAAAGAGAAGGATAAAAACCATATGCTTTCATCTCAATAGATGCTGAAAAAGCATTCAACAGAATTCAACACCCATTCATGATAAAAACTCTCAAGAAAATGGGTCTAGAGGGTAAGTACCTCAAAAAAATAAAGGCCATATATGACAACAGTGAAAGCTGAAAGCTTTTCCTCTAAGATCAGGAACAAGACAAGGATACCTATTTTCCCCACTTTTATACAACATAATTTTGGACGTCCTAGCTGTGGCAATCAGACAACACAAAGAAATGAAAGGCACCCATATTAATAAGGAAGAAGTTAAACTGTCACTGTTTGCAGATGACATGATGTTGTACATAAAAAACCCTAAAGAATCCACCCTAGAACTATTAGGACTAATAACTGAATTCAGCAAAGTTGCAGAATTCAAAATTAATACACAGAAATCTGTTGCATTCCTATATACTAGCAATGAACTAGCAGAAAGAGAAATCAGGAAAACAACTCCATTTACAATTGCATCAAAAAGAATGGAATACCTAGGAATAAGCCTAACCAAAGAACTGAAAGACCTATACCCTGAAAACTACAAGACACTCATGAAAGAAATTAAAGAAATAAATGGAAAGCTATCCTGTGCTCATGGATAGGAAGAATTAATAATATCTTCAGATTCAAAGCAATCTCTATCAAAAATACCAATGGCATTCTGCAATGAACTAGAACAAATAGTTCTAAAATTCATAGGGAACCACAAAAGACCATGAATAGCCAAAGAAATTCTGAGAAGGAAGAATAAAGCTGGGAGGATTATGTTCTCCAACTTCAATCTCTACTACAAAGCTACAGTAATCAAGACAGTTTGGTACTGGCACAAGAACAGACCCATAGACCAATGGAACAGACTAGAGAGCCCAGATATAAACCCACACATATATGGCCAATTAATATATGATAAAGGAGCTATGGATATACAATGGGGAAAAGACAGCCTCTTCAACAACTGGTGTTGGCAAAACTGGACAGTTACAAGTAAGAGAATGAAACCGGATTACCATCTAACTCCATTCACAAAAGTAAACTTGAAATGGATCAAAGACCTGAATGTAAGTCATGAAACCATAAAACTCTTAGTAGAAAACATGGCAAAAATCTCTTGAATATAACATTAGTTTTTCCTGAACACATCTCCTCTGGCAAGGGAAACAAAAGCAAAAATGAACAGATGGGACTACATTAAACTAAAAATGTCCTTCTTTACAGCAAAGGACACCATCAGCAGAACAAAAAGGCATCCTACAGTATGGGAGAATATATTCATAAATGACATATCTGACAAGGGGTTAATATCCAAAATATATAAAGAGCTCACACACCTTGACACCCAAAAAGCAAATAACCCAATTAAAAAATGTGTGGAGGATATGACCAGACACTTCTTCAAAGAAGAAATTCAGATGGCCAATAGGCACATGAAAAGATGCTCCACATCACTAATTATCAGATGTTCATTGCAGAACTGTTTACAATAGCCAAGATATGGAAGTAACCTAAGTTTCCATCAATAGATGAATGGATAAAGAAGATGTGGTACATATACACAATGGAATACTATTCAGCCATAAGAAGAAAACAAATCCTATCATTTGCAACAACATGGATGGAGATAGAGGGTATTATGCTCTGTGAAATAGCCAGGCGGTGAAAGACAAATACCAGATGACTTCACTCATTTGTGGAGTACAACAACAAAGGAAAACTGAAGCAACAAAACAGCAGCAGACTCACAGACTCCAAAAAGAGACTAGCGGCTACCAAAGGGAAGGGTTTGGGAGGGTGGGTGAGGGAGGGAGGGAGAAGGACATTAAGAGGCATTATGACTAACACACATAATGTAGGGGGGATAAGGGGAAGGCAGTATAGCACAGAGAAGACAAGTAGTGAGTGACTCTATAACATCTTACTGCATTGATGGACAGTGACTGCAATGGTGTGTGTGGGGGTAACTTGATAACATGGGTGAATGTAGTAACCACAATGTTGCTCATGTGAAACCTTCTTAAGATTGTATATCTATGATACCTTAATAAAAAAAATTTCAAACTGTTATCCTGAGTGGCTGTACAATTTTGATTTACACTTCCACCAGCAGTGTACATGTGATGCTGTTTCTCTGCATTCTCGCCAGCATTTATCACTACTTTTTATTTCAGCAACTCTGACAGGTGTGTTATGATATTTCATTGTGGTTTTAATTTGCATTTTCCTGATGTCCGATGTTGAATTTACTTCACATTTTTAATTCCATTCTTGCATAATTTTTCTTACTGAAATCCAGAAATTATGAAGAAAAGAACTAGGGCCCACTTTATATAGGAAAAGGGATATCCTTCTAAATATTCCTCTGAAGGGTCTTACATGATCACTTGTTACCTCTTTTTATAAGAGTACCACTTAAAATAGGGTAGGTTAAGAAATCTGTTTTCTTTCCATGATTAGTTTGCATTTCTTACAAATAATTCTACAAACACATTTCAGCAAGAAAAATGCAAATCAAACTATTGCCATTAAACTTATCCAAGTGGACCAGGTATATATGGTTTTTGGAAGCTGTGATTACTTGGATGTTACAACTTCTGACAAAACCCAAGAATACTCCCAAATACCTTAAGTGTTATGGAAAACTGTTATCCATATTTTAGATTTGAGTTATAGATCACACAGCACTTCATATACATACTCTTTCTTAATGCTCACTATGACTCAGAGAGTTGAATATTCTGAGCCTCATTAGATGAGGCAAATGGAAAACAGGGTTTAAAAACAAAACAACCCTGCAGTGGTTGAGCTTAAAGTCAACAGTGTTCCTATTTTGTGCCCACAAAGCAGCACAGCTGGATGAGACCCGCCTCTCACTAAAGCCTTCACACACATCTCATTTGACCACTGAATGTCTTTGTTGCCCTTTTGAGGTGGAAAAGGTTTCATTCCACTGTTAGCACCCCTACCCCCCTGACCCGTATTAAATTTGTTTTAATGAAACATATGGATGAAGAAAGTGAATTCAGATTAGAAATCATGTTCATTGCTTTGCAGAGAGATTGTGATGGAGCCAGGAAATACCGGTTTAAAATCAAACGGAAAGAAAGAAGATTTCAACTAAAACAGCTTATAGGAACTTATGGAGCAGCCTGCTTCCTTTCAAAGGTGAGGTATTTAATAGGACAGCCCATTTTCCTTTAGATGTTGGACGTTGCTTCTTTCTTCAATTACATTCATCATATTGTTATGATTGGACATTTTCTACCTGTCATGAGTTTACAGGGTACTTCTGGAAAGAGACTAAGCAGTCTGCATGTGCCCACATCAGACAAACTTATATCCTGATGCCTGGCCCATGGAACACTAACTGGAGATAGGACTGCATTTTGAAACTTTTGTCTGGCTATTCTGAAGTCAAACGTCAGCAGCCAGGGCATAAGATGAAGACGGTAGGAGTTATCTTAAAAGAAGGAACAGAATCTGGGGCACTGGAACCCATTCCTGTTGTGGAAGTGATGGGGACAGAAGTGCTCCATGCTTACCTTGCCCTCCTGGATGGTGACCACATCAGGGAGACCGCCGACCACGCGGGCACGATCTGCAAGCACAGGCATTTCTGGTTAATCACTGAGATGGTAAGCATCAGCGATCACTCAGAAAACCACTCTAGGGAATTAATTTTCCAATTTAGTTTCCTTCTCCTTACAATCATTTTATACCTGTTTATAATATGCAAAATAAGAGGATCCAGTGATTATAAATGTTAATCCTCCTTCGCATCTTGTGCATGTGGGTGCCTCTATGTGTACCTAAATTATCAGCTTGACATCACTTTGTTGTACAAAGATCTGCCCTATAATCTCCATAGCTATTTTCAGCTCTGGCCGCTCTGCAGCTCAGTGGGGCTCAGCGGGAGGAGGAGGAGCAGATTACTCTGGACAGCCTCCAAGCCAAGCCTGGCTTCTTTCACAGGCCTGAAAGGTTGCATAATCAGAGGCTATCTGCCAGGGAGATCTGGAGGCTGGTGCAGATGTGGGCTTCCTTGAGACCTTCCCTAGAGAGCTGCCCTTTCTTGTCTCCTGGGATTTCCTGGTAGTGCTGTACAGGGTGGCTGTCAATGACTTGCTTGCAGCTGAGGGGATGACACATGGGAAGGAAGCTGAAGTCTGCCCCCAGCCAACATATGTGCTCTGGATGTGACCTGCTCAGGCCTGGGGAAGGAGGCCTTTCTGTGATTCATGTAAGGCACACTCTCTGGCCCTAAAAGAGTGGCCACCACCCTCTCAATTTGAGGCCCACTTCAATAAATATGTGATTCTAGTTCACTATTTCTACAATTCCCTCCTCCACTGTCAAACTAAAGCTTTGAAGGGGTCTTGACTGCACTCTCCTGCCTATTCCATTGACCTTACACACTAGTAAGCCCAAGTACCCATCTGGCTCCCTGCACTATTTGCCATGTGCTAACAGGCAAGTCACTTCACTGTGTAGACCTCAGTCTACTAATCTGTAGAATGGGGAGAGGGTTGTCTTACACCCAGGAATGTGAATTTTCCACTCTCCTCCACAGTGTCCACAGGATTCCTCTGAGGAGAGGCACTGAGTCAGAGAGCCAGGATCCCTCTCAGCTTCAGTGGAGGTAATTTGGCTTTCACCTATTTTATATTTTGGGTCTGTGTGGAAGATTTTGTTTGAATGAAGTGTTGCACAGCATATGAAAGTTTAAAAACATGGACCTAGAAGAGCTTAAGGTCTCTTCCAGCTCTGAAGTGCTTTGATTCAGAGATCTCAGGAAAGAGCTCATTAACTGGGGGGAGTGGCAGGCTTCTTGCCCACCAGAGTTCAAGAATGGGAGTGTCCATAAACTGCTATGGACACTGACTTTGCCTGTGTGTACAGCAGCCAGGGGGACATATTCAGTACCACCCAGGAATGCTCTCTGTTCGTTCTGACCTCTCCCCAGCTGGCATCTACCCTATTTGCCACTCGCGGCAGCCTGGCAAACCCAGAGCATGAGCAGGAGAGGGGAAGAGCTGAAAGAAGGGAGGAAGGCAGTGCAAGTCAAAGGTGAGCCTGTCACCCTGATGACCTGGAGCCATGGACTGTCGGTATCACCACTCACTCCTCCTCATCCCTTCCATTCCAGCCCAGGACCCACTCTACAGTTTTAACCCTTAACAATTTTCAAGTTCTGCTACACCAAGAAAGAACCTGAATTATTATAATTTAATCTGTGACTTCTGGGAGCCTATCTGTGAGTTCTTCCAGAAAGCTCTGTGTGTGTAGCAAACAGTTGGCAAATTAGTGTTGAGTACATTTCTGGGTACATAGTTAACAGGTTGGTGTTTATTCACTCAGACTGTGAAATAAAGGCCTTTTTTATCCTACAGGAGCTCTCAGGAAAATGTAAGAGTGCTTGGGGGACCAGTTACAGCAATTTACCCAAGCCAAATTTACAAAGTTTCTTATTGCTTCTTTTCTTTAATGTACATGAATTTTTCTGACACACTGTGGCCGATGCCAGTGATTAACAACCTGCTGTGTGATTTGCAGCTCAGAGATTTCTCAGGACATCTGGGTGGTTAGCTCAAGAACCGGGCAACTTTCTTACAGTGTAACCTGAGACTTTCTTCTTGGAGAGATTCGTACTCAAGAGACAAAATGAAAACATATGTAGAACACCTAAGATTTTTAAAAAAGGCTTTCACTCTCCTCCGTCTGTAGTCATGGTAGAAGAATGAAAGTCATACTTTGAAAATTACACCAGGAGTAAAGGGAAAGGGAGTTTACTTACTTTTCTCGGCAACAGCAGCTTGTCTGTGGTTGAGACAAACGAACAAACACACAAACAGAGAAGAATTTTGTTTTAGTAGCAACCCTGGACTGCCTGTCATTGCCGCAGAGACATTTTGCTGCTCAGCAAAGCAGTGGGAAGTGCTGTTTTCACTGCATTTACCAAAATGAAAGCCCCTGGGACCCTCGGATGGGGGAGCAGCAGACGGCACTGCAGAGAAAGTAGTGCAGGCGAAGGGCAGGGTACTTACTTTAATCTCTGAAATTCAGCAAAGGCTTCATCATATGCTTTAGGGGAAAAAGGGAGATGTTAGAATTTTCTCACCCAGAACTGACAACACACAGGGGTCAATTAAAACTCACACTCTGAGGTCAGTGTGATCAGTCTAGATGCAACTAAGCTGACCTTGAATAGGACTGTGCCTGAGAGTTCACTCTATGACCTGATGGACTTAACAAAACAAGCAAGTACTTTGGGAGAAAAGGTGAAATATTGGATTTTAGAAGATCTGAATTCAGTGAGGGACTTTCCATGAAAACAAAAGGCAAAGATTAGCTTTGCCAAAGACAAAGTGGGGATAAAGGTGGGTTTCAAATCAAGAGTGGTTGTCTGATAAGCATCCTGAGCCTCACAGAAGCTTCCCTCTTAGTAACTGGTCCCACACATCCCAGCCGCCTGGCTGGACAGTGAGGTGTTACCACTATGTGGTCTGGCCCCTGCTTTGTCTTAAAGAGCTTGGCGTCACTGCAGTCGCAGTGGGTTGTGCGGGAGAGACAGAAAAGGCAGAAACCTTTTGTCCAATATCCCTCATTAGCTTTTTCTCTTCCCTAATCTCTCCAGAGTCCCCCACCCTCATTCTCTCTGCAGATGACCTAGAAATCTACAGCCATAAGGATCCAATTTTTCCAACTTCCTTCTGTTCTCAATATTTACCTTTGCTTATTCACACTTACTTCCCTCTGGTTTCTGAAGAAGCATTCCTGCCCCTTTCCAAAGCCAGCACTTTCACCCCTGCCTTGAACTCACACCTTCCATTCTGCAGAACTTTGCTACATTGGCTAGTCTCCTTCACTCACACCTTCAGTTCTTCCAACTTAACCGGTTTTTTGGACTTAACAAACATGCTCACATTTCAATTACCATAAAACTATTCTTTTTCAGTGTTTGTTCTTGCTCAAGTGATTGTAAATCAATCTGCCCTTCTTTGTAGAAATCTTCAAAGAGTTGTGCTTCACCCCGTATTTATTGTCTCCACTTTACTTCACAAACTATGGTTGAATTTAAACTGCTTTATTAAAATCTCCAATCATCTTTCAATAGTCTGATGTACGGACCTCTGATGACCCTTCATTCTTTCTAAAACGCCCTCTCCTCCATAGTGAGTTCTAATCTGAAGAATATGCATTTACCTTGTCCAGAAAGATCCACTGTCTTCTGGTGTCCTGTTTTGCCATCAAAGAGCTCCATTACATATTTTCCTTTGTCATTTGGGGTGGGCTCATTGATTTGCAGCCATATCTGCTCCCCGGTGACTGCACTCTTAACTCTGTCTGTGTATTTAACAGGAGTCCCACTGTTCATGTCAAAGGAAACATCCTTATTGTTTGTTTTCATCCAGAGCTGATCGTTACTTTGTTTCTTATCAAAGGTCTTACCAGAAAGTTTCACAGGCTTCTGAATAACATGGGGTCCACATATGTTCTACTACAGAGAAATTATGGACCTTGAATCACAGACCTTGGATTCCAAAGCCCAGGGTCGGGGTGGGGTAGGGATCTGACAGTTTGCACATGTCACTCCCAGTAGTGGTCAGGGGGCCAGGGCAGATTGCAACACCTGTACTTCTTGGTGGTATTAATCATCTTTGCTTTTCCTTGGGTTTTGTTGTAGGACTAAGGGAATCTTAAAGTAAAAAGGTCAAACTACATATTACTGCATATTTCATGCCGATAGCGTATGGCTATAAATTGGATTTTACAAGCTAGTTAAAAACAGACTTAAAGAGATCATCTGTGGCTGACATCTATTGACATATGGGGTTACAAAGGTATTTAAAACATATGTAAATATGCACTTGGTAGTAAGGCCAAGAGTAAATGATAAGTAGAGTCGTTGCCAAAATAAATGAGGCACCTTCTCTATCCCTGGATCTGAGCTTCTCTCTATTCTATAGTAGGTCATAAGCAGACCCACGCATTGTGTTCTTTACCAGAGAATAAAAGCAAAGAGAACTCTTTGTTTTGTGATCTGATAGGCTAGAAATGCTACTATTATACACAAAGTAAGAGAAACGTAGAGGTATATGTACTCTTGATGAGGTTAAATGGAACTTTATGAAGATTTTGTAAACATGTGGGGAAATTTTTTTAAAAAGGCAGTACACGACACTACATTATTATAGTAACAATTATGCACAGAGAAAAGACTGGAAGGAAGTACCCCAAGATATTCATACTATGGCTAGGGAAACTATGGATTATATAGAAACTATAAACTCTTTCTAATTTGTAACATGATCTTAAAAAATATTTTCTAAAGCAAGCATGTATTATGCTTGTAATAAACAAAATGAACTTTAAAAAACATAGCAAAATGAAAATCTCCACCATAAAAAGTTTTAGCTTTCAAATAAATGCAAAACAAAAATCTCCACCAAGAAAAGTTTTAGCTTTCAAATATATATTCAGCATTTTTCATATATACTACATTCTTTAATGGATATTTAAAAAATTTAAATGCCATAAAACGTAGAATAAAAGAACCCATCTGTACCCATAGACTTTAGCCTAAACAGTGTATGTGTCTCTCGGAGACTTAGAAAGATACACAGCTCTATGCTTTGCCATAAGAAACCTATTTGAATTCTTTAGTTTCTGGCTAACATGAATTATAGTATCTTAAGTTTGTAAAGTACTTCATGGTTTATAAAGTGCCATTAATTCCATTCTCTTACTGTGTTGATCAGTGTTATGAAATAGAGCAGGTATTTCTGCTCCTATTTTATGTGAAAGAAACCTGAGATTCAGAGAACTAAATGACTTGCCTAGGATCCAAAGGAAGATAGGAGCAAAGTTATGACTAAAATCCATTTCAAGGTTTTTCCTATTATAGTACATACTTACATAAAGACAGTGAAGAGGATCAATCCTTGATTCCTGAATCTTTCACAGTCATACAGATACACAAGGACTCATTTCACTGACTAGGCCAATAATGTGGGTTTATGAATTGCTAGGCTAATAGCAGTTTCCTCAAAACTCAGTGTTCTAATTTTTTGAACATATAATTGTTTTGGAGATGATACAAAACTTTTTGATGGATGATTCAACTAATTTATCTTTTTATTCTTCAGACTGATATACTAGAATGTCCTAGATGTCACAGAGGAATTTCCTAGAATTTTCTCTTTTAATTTATAATTACTTCCCAAAAATGTCCTTTGAAAGAAATAGAACAAAGGAATGAAACCTCAAACGCTCAAACTGAAATTTCACTTGTTCTCTGTCTTTTTTTTTTAGAACTCAGGAAATTAATAATAACAATAGTAATAAAACACTGTTCCACATGATAGTAAGTCATTTTAAAGAAAACAAAAATGAATGTTTTGTGGGATCCAGTTCTGGTTAAATGTTCAGTATAGACTTGAACACAGGTAGAGTGTTAGAAGCCAGGGATAGTGCCATGAGGAGGGGCGCTCTGGAGCCAGATTGCCTTGGCGCACGCAGCCCTCCACCCACCACTTAGCTGTGTGACCTTAGGCAAGTTATCTCCCCTGGCCTGAGCTTCCTTGTCACTAAAGTGAGAAGTACCCACCTCACAGAGTTGTAGATGGTAAATGAAGTCACACATCTAAAGGGCTTGGAGCAGTGCCCAGCACACTGTAAATGCCTACTGAAGGGAAGGCATAAGCATTGTAGCCTGCTTCCTCCCTGCAATGCGACAGTGACCTACTGCTCAGTGGGGCTCCTGAGGACTTGTGGAATGAGTGTCCGCTGCATTCTAAGGGTAACTGCATGTGGCTATGTCCCATCAGATTTCTATGTCAGGCTGCTATTCTCTTTCAGCTCAGGAAATTTCAAGGAAGCACAGAAGTTAAGGACCCTGTCAAAAGTATAAATGGGAGAACTGATTTGACTTAAAAACCTATTTCAGTGCTTGGAATCCCAGAGGTGAACTTGAGTGGAATCCCTCTGAAACTTCACAGTGGAGGCCTGGGATTAGAACAGAACTTCTGCAGCAATCCAGTTTAGTACATATTCCCAGAGTCACCATAGGACCTCCAAAGCCTCCCAAGGGTGGACAGGAAACATGGAATGCCCATTGCAGCTAGCAACGCTGACAAACTCGTGCACTCCCCTGCACGGGCCTCTGTGGGGAACAGCCTCCGTTCATCTAACAGGATATTTGGTGCCCCTTGGTGCGCACTGCTGGGATTTTGCTCCAGACCATAGCCTGGGTTTGTTGTGTGTAGAAAGACAGGATAAAAATCTGGCTCTGGATGCCTGGAAATACAGAGCTCAAGCATGACCCCCTGGAGGGAGAGGCTACATTAGAGAGATGTCTCTGAGTTATGATACTTCCCAGATCACAAAGACAGATGCTCTTAAGCTGTCACTAGCCTCACCATGAATGTTTTGAATGTTTTGAGGAAAAGTGCTAGCCTCACACCAAGAGAATGGCCTGGGAGCTCACCAGCATTAGACCTGAGAAGTAAGGAGACTCCTTACCAGAAAGGAACACAGGGTGGTTACTGGTTTTCCCCCAACTTGTTCCCTGGTCCCCACCCCTCCCCCAATAGAGAAAGCTTTTCCACACAGCAATTAAATTACCATTTACTTACTTGTGGGACCAGTTAACTTTCAGATCCTCTAGGTAGTAAGTAACAAAAGAGTACAGCCGGATACCCTCAGCTGTGCTCTTGATTTTCAGGTCTGTAGCAGACAAAGCTGAAAGAAGAAAACAGTATATTTCATGCAACTGTAAACCCATCCAGGAAAATAATGAAGCACTGTTGTGATGAGAACATCTTAACTTACCTATCATTTTACATACTTCGCTCATCAGTTCTTTAAAGGCTGTGGACAGAGATTCACAGATAAAGCTTTAGCATAAAAATGTTCAATGTAAGGGCAAATCTCAAACTGTTAGTCAGCAGGTGCTCTCAAAAAAACTCTGTTTGGTGAAGTGCATTCATTGCAAGGTGAATTTGCTGACTAAGTGATAATATGTGCTCCTTGAGAGAATGACTCAATTTTTATAGAGTTGTAAAAGATCCCTGCTCTCAACTGGTATTCCTTCCCTCTCATTCTTTGTAACTGTCACCATATTTGCATTTTGGAGAAAGAGCTAGAGTGAGACTTCCAGGAAGGTTCTTAGCTTTAGTAGTCTCTTCCTAAGTCCCAGGAAGCCTTTGTTTACATTTACATTACAAGAGGTTTTATTATCTGTGTCATCAATACATAATGAATTAAACATCTAGGTTCCCTAATATTTCTCAGCCTATTAATACTTTTTGCCAGTAAACACATTGAGTGTTGCCTCCACTAAGAGTAGGAAGGTGAAATCAAAGTCAGACTTTTGCTGTTGGTTACTAGTATTGTTAAAGGTCTTGTTCAGGAACAAAACTGGAAGATTGGGGGTCACATGTGGGTTTTCCTTATCATGATATATATGTCCTTAGTAGGCTCTGAAAAATAGGCATTGTTTTCCTGCTCCATTAGTAAATGAGAGGCTTCAAGTTTCATATATAAATCTTTCTTGCCCATGTTTTAAGAGTAGACTATTTTGTGACATGCTTTTCATGTTTTTCATCCTGGAATGTTTTTTACAGGGGTTACAACAAAAATGGTGATTTTTATTGCAAACAGACCCCTAGTGGGATATAGACTCAGGATCAGAAGTATAATTCTGATTTCTAGGGACCCTAAAGAGAAGTATTTTTGAATTAAACAGTTCACTCTGCTGGAATTTCAATTAAAACAAAATCTGTGGACCAAAAGTCAGCATGACTTCAATTGTCAGCTTAGCTTCACTCAAAATTCTGGTATCCTGTATCTAGAACACACAAAATGGACCCCAGCAGTTGGTGGACTGACCTTCATCCACAAGTTTCAATCTGCTCTTATCTTTTCCTCTGTCATCTTTCAGGATAACTTCATAAATCCCAGCATCTTTTCTCGAAAACTAAGGGAGGAACAGAATACCATACTGCAATTTATCGTAGCCTCAGAGGATGGTGTTTGCATTTTGAAGGCCCTGTGATTTATAGCACTGCCATCAAGACACACACTGAACAAGCATCTAGGCATGTCAGCAATGAACAGTTCATGGATGAACCTATGTATCATAATTCGACAGGCTAGCAGTCCTGACTATTCACCTTCTAAGGCTATGGTCCCTAAAGTCCTTATCCTTTATTCTGCTTTCATATTAAAAACTAATGATCACATATATTTGAAAGTATGCTCTTTTATATAAAAAGTAGATAAAAATCTCTACTTAAATGAATACTGTGTTTGATTGTCTCTTTTTGTATTCTTTGGGAACAAGTTACCATGAGGCTTAAGGGCCAAGGAAGAAGGATCCAGTTAACTACCCTACCACTCACCCATCTGTGAAAAAAAGTAGCTCAGAAGGGCGAAAGTTTCAGTGTCCAGTCAATATTAATTGGCTATCTGATAAATCTACACATATCACAAGGTGAGGGAATCTTTTGTGTCCCTACAGCTTGCTTTTTGAGTGATGTCAGGGCAGGAATCTTTGGAGAAGTTAGAATTAAGGAATTAAAAATGCCTGCAGCAAAGGAATACAGGATCTAGACTCTGTTTTTTGGAGGAATGAAGTGCAGAAAACTAATTTATATATTCCACATTTATAGTACATACCTCTGTTATAAGCAGGGTACATATGCCATCCTTAAAGTCATGCTTCTCATCCACTGATATCTCCCTCTCATCTTTGTACCACACAATATGAGTCTCCTTCTTAATATTTGCCACCTAGGAGAAAATCCATAATTACACTTCTTGAAATAAGAAAATGCTACTCTTATGGAACTAAACAGTTCTTAATGTAGCATTGGATAGAACAAAAAACACTGAACTTAGAGCTAGAAGATAGATTACTAAAGGAATCAATTGAAAGCTATTTTAATTGATAGAGCTTAGATATAAATTGACACAAACTACTGAACCTAAACCAACAGCATCTCTATTTCGAGCTGTAAAAATTGACCTAAAACCATCTGGTGGACAAGAAAGAAAGAATAGATACATACATACTAACATCCAGAATTAAATAAAAATAAAAATGTGAAAACTGTAGGAAAACAAATCCCAGTACATTATAGCCTATATCACAAAAACAAATGGCTTTATCAAAGGAACATAATGAGTAAGACCCAATATATGTCTAAATGAAGCTTTGCAAATAAATATGTACAGGAAGTATGCTTTAAAAAATGTTTTTAATTGAAAACTTTTCCCCCAGTTTTACTGAAATATAATAGACATATAATATATAAGTTTAAGGAATATAACATAATGGTTTGATATATGTATATATTGTGAAATGATCACCATAGTGAGTTTAGTTAACATCCATCAAGTATGGTTTAATAAATTAGTTGCTTAGCAATTTTGAGGAAATTTATTTAAATCCTGTACCAACATATATTTCATCATAAATTTCAAATGGGCTAAATGACTTCATACATTTAAAGGGATCTTGAGCTTTATCTACAATGTTTGAATTCTCTGCAAACAAGAGTATATTTATGTATTTCTTATGTAATTAAAGTTGTATAAAGAAGTACAGACTTCACACAAGAAAACAATTCCTAACACCCCACTGAATAACTGGACAAGTGTACATATAATTCCCTAAAGAAGAGATACAAGTATTAAACAGATGAAGAAAATATTTAATCTCATTAAAAACAAGGCTATGCAAGTTTTAAAATATTAAAATATTTGTTAATAATTAATATAAAAACCAGCACTGATAACTGTACAGTGAAACCAGAACACATGCTTTATGATCCTGTAAACTAGTTTCCTGACTTACAGAAAGTAACTGTGCTACTAGGTGACATTGCTTCTGAGGTAGATGACCCCTGATTAGAAAGCTGCATCTGAATTGGGAGGGACTCCATAGCTTTGGGCTTCCCTGAGTATACGACTCTTGTAATTTGGGCATGTCCCTTGTGAGGACCCTGGCAGCTCTGCCTAGGGAGTGTTACAAGAGGTACTGGCTCCTTAGAGCATGAGGTATTTGTAAAGCCACGTGTTTCCTGCACCTTCCGGAAGGGGAAGGGAGGAGCTCCTGGCGTGGAGTCCTGCAGGGGAGGAATGCCCAGAGCTGCCTTGCAGGCAAGCTGGGGCTCTTGTCCTATATTCTTTTGAGTATACTAGTTTCAAGTGGGGTCTGTGATGGTATGACTCTGAATGTTTAGCCCCACATACTCTATTAACTATAAGGAATGTGTAAATCGCTACATGTACATAAATAGTAGAATAATGAAACAAAGAGCTTTGGGAGGACAAAGGAAGGTTCATTCTACCTGGACTAAGAAGGGGAAGACCAATGACAACAATAATATTTATCAGTAAGGATGTGTCACTCATCATTTTGGTTCAGATGGAGATGAAGAATTGATCTTCCTTCTATTACATTCTATTTATATCAAACATTTAAAATGTATCTACTTCTTACCTTGCATTTCAATAGTACATTACATTCACCAGTCACTTCCCAGCTCAAATGCTCAGCAAAATGCGGACCTATAAAATTTTAATGACATCAGTAATCACTCTACTAATCACAATGCAATGTCAGAGCTCATTCTTAAATTCTAAGGTGACTATGGTTTGAAGTGAAATTTTAAAAATTCAAGATTTAGTGTTTAAATATTTTAAATGGACACATAGTTAATAATAAATGTTTCCAATTACCTTTTATTTGCCAGAACACTATTATTATTATTATTACTATAACATAAGTAATAATTTTCACTTTAATGTGTTATAGAAATAATCTTGGAATATTTTGTTCAAGAAGTTAAAGCTTTTCTCTTTATTTACTGCCTATTTTTACCTTGTTTCTTGATCCATTCTTGCCGCTGGAATTCAGCTTCTTTCTGGAGCTTTTTATAAACTAAATATTGAAAAACAGGAAGTATAAAATTGAGTTGAGTGGTATAAATATACATGCCAGTCACTGTGCTAAGTGATTTATGTTCATTATTACACTCATAAATCATGGCCACCCTTTTGGTTTTCAGTTTTCCTAGGTGAAGAAATAATAGGCTTAGGAAGAAAGGTTAAGTAACTTGTTCAATGCCACAAAACTAGGAAATAGTGAAATAGTATCGGATATTGCAAATGTAGAGATCTGGCCAGGCTTTCCACTACTTTGTTAAATGCCACGTTTTAAATATTGGTAGTTTCTGTAGTGGTTATGGCGGCTGACATAAGTCTAGTTATAATGTAGGATTAATTGATTTGGCATGCACTGCTTTTGCATATTTTTCTTAATTTAAGTAATTCAAAGTAAATACACATATAAGATAGTATCATAGTTTGTTTCTGAGACACGTATACACTCTTAGTTGCATTGTAATCTCCTTCATTAGAGAATTTTAGTAGTAAGTACTTGTTTATATATGAGATACTTTAAGTGCAGTCTTGCCTATAGGTCACAGATAAATTTGGCATCCTTTTAAGTTAACTTTCATTTCTATGAAATGAAACACTATGGAAAGTATTAGCTGAAAATTGTATTTCAAACACTGGAATCCAATCAAGAAACAATTCCTACCACAACTGCTTCGGAGCCTTGTGTTATTTACACTGAATGGGGCAGCAGAGTCTTTCAGTCAACAACCCACAAAAGTCTTACCATCTCCAATGAGAACAAGAGTAGAATGGCCAGTTGCTCTCCCATCCTGAATCTGGAAAGTATATGTTCCCTCATCCTCATCCTGTAGCTTTTCCATGAACATTTCAATTATACCAGTGTTTCGGTCAATATGCATCTTATATTTCTTCAATGTGAAAAGAAAAAGAGAAGTCAGTAAGGTAGATATTAAGACAATAGCTTGATGAAGTAAACATAAACTCCCAAGAATCATAATTTTAATAACATTTCTTGTTAATGCTTTTTTAGATGAGCAATGTTTCAAAATCTTCTACCCAGGAAAAGGAAATTATTAGGGAGAATATATGACCTTGACCAGAACTGGTGACTAAAATATTTGAAATTTAATTTTTTTAAAGTAAAGCTTTCTTATCCCAAGTCACAAAATGTCAAAAAGGGGTTTTTAGGTCCCCATTCTAAACTCTTTTTTCAGTGTAAAGATAAATCTTAGTCTCTGGGCTTATAAGCATAAATTTCTTAATGGATTTGAATGAAAGAAGTTTTCCTGTAAAATGTCATAGAATGAAGGCTCAGGTCTGTGCAACTCATGCCCCCAAGTTTCCCCTGTGGGAAACCAGCCTACAACCTAAGCTGCATTTTCCCTTAGCTTTCCCCTGCTCTAACTTGTTTCCCTTACCCCTTCTCCTGAGAATACTCCATAGTTCACTTGCAGGAGAAACTCTATTTCATACTCCCCTTCTGGGGAACCTGACCTCAGACAGTCATTTCCATCCAGTGAAAAAGTATGATTAGAACCAATTGCAATGACAATGAACAGCCTTCAAGTTCAAAGTGTGTGTGTGTGTGTGTGTACATGCAGCAAATGCAAGCATGTGTGAACACATGAAGAGGAGTGTGCCTGCACCCATGTGAGCACGAGGCTTCCCTCAATGGCTGTGGCAGCAGAGAATGATGCAACCGTGTTTTCCTTCCTCTCTCCTGGCCAGATGGCGATCCCAGCAGTTGATGAGAACATTTTGGAAACAGGGAGGAGATGGGCCATAGTGGATCCTTATGTGACTTGTTCTGGCTCTATGCACAGTTACTGTATAAGTGGAAAAGGAATATACTGCACGCTGTTCTGCTATTTATATTACTCATTCTCCCCATCACTAATGAATCCTCAAATGTTTTAAAAACTTATCTTCATGAAAGCAGAACAGATAGATAATAATGGCCACAAACCATGACTCTCCTGTCTTTTTAGTCTCCCATTTATACCCATGACTGGGCAGGTAAGAGGCAAGTTCTTCAGTACCATGGGTACTGGCCCAACCCTGCCTCCACTGATGCCTAGAAAGGATAAATAAAGTGCCAATGTTGTAACTCCAGCTAAAGAAACTATGTTTGTATTAAAAGTAAAGAAAATAGTGGATTTAGATATACACAATCACCTATGTAAATAAGATTTGAATAGACATAGGTACATGGAAATATAGGAAAAGACCCAAAGTATGTACCAATATGCAAATCAAGAAGTTTAAAAATCTTTGATTTGTCTTTTCTGAGTCTTTAAAGCTTTACAATAAGCACGTATTGCATTTTTAACCAGAAAACGAATGAAAGATGTTTTCATTGCATTTTTTTCTGAGCCGTTGGAATGATAGGGGCCATTCCCTCCCTGTGAAGAACCAAGTCCCTCCTGGGATGTCTGATGTGAGTATGTGAGTTCAAGCAGGGTGTTGCCTTCTCGAGAGAGCAGCTCTGACTGCAGGGGCACCACACTTCTTCCTGATTTGCCCAGGACAGTTTTTGGTGTATGACTGTTGTCCTAGAAGAATTATTATCAGCCCCCTCTTTCATTCTCAAAAATGGTTTGGATAATATGATGTAATCAATCTATATTTTCAAGTGAAATGATTTAAACTTCTCCACCCTACACCCAGTGGTTTTCATAACAGCTTATCTGCATTCTTCTCCACATAAGTCTTCTGCAGCATTTTCTACAGTAATATGTTTAAGAATCTCAAAAGTGTAAAACCTACCGGCCCTTCAAAAATTTCCTTGTCATTAAATATGTAGCTGACTTTGGCGTTGCCAGAGAGCTTCTCAGCCTGCATCCAAAACCGGACCTGGCCTTTCTCCAAAATTTCAACTGCCAACTCTGATTTAACTGGGACAGCTATGAAAAATAAGAATAAAAGAGTAATTATATTGATAACCAATTGTAATGACAGATTTTTCTAACGAGTGAAAAACCACTCAATGGAAATGGTGGTAGTACCTTGTTTCTTGCAAAGTCTGGCAGTGAGGGCATTGTGGGGAAAGCATGATAGTGAGGGAAGAAGACCTGGGTTCCAATCCTGTCACTTTGGGCAAGACATCAATCTCTTCTCAGTTATAAAAATGAGGAAGACAAACTCACTCTGAGGGCCCCCCAGCTAACCTCAGTGACTTCTCCTGTGGCTTTGGCTAGGTTTACTAGACAATAACAGAGCATGATGGAACAGTATTTGGACCCAGGAGAGCTGGAGTCTAGTCCGACGTCAGCTACTAACAAAGTGTGACATTAGGGAGGCCACCTCACATACCTGAGTCTCATTTGATTTCTTCATAAATGAATGGAATTGAAGTGAATAGCTAAGATATTTTGCAGCTCCAACATTCTATGATCTTAATTAGTTCAAAATATGTGGAAAAACGTTTTTCTCCAATGATTTAATTCACTGGCTCTTTAAGATGTTTTTTTTAAAAAGAATTAATTTTCATTGTATATACAAGATAAACTGGCTTGTTGTTTAAACCCTATCCATCCCAACAACACTATACACGTCACTGAAGTTCTTAGACGAGGCAACATTCTTCAGAGGCAAATAAGCGAAACACCACGGAGAAGCCATATGAAAATACAGTGTGGCTTGCCTCACAAGGCGAGTGCAGGACCATGTGGTAGTTCTGATTTACACTTGTACCACTTAAGCCATTTGAGCCTGAGCGAAACTTTGAAAGTCAGCTGACATCTCTCAAAAGTAGTTTCTAAATGTACTGTAACTTGAAAATGTTGTCTACAAAAGTGCCTCCAACCAATGGTTCTGCATCACAGGTGAATGCAGGCATACTTTGTGGAAAAGTATGGTTGTTTTTCAAGGCTTAGTAGTCCTTCACTCCCTTTAGGGGAAACCGTCACTCTTTGCTTTCTCTAAACTGTTCTTAAACCTATCTCAAAATTTTAGCATTTGCTACATTTAAATTAATAGGGTCCCAAAGTTGTGCCAAGTGTATACTAATACTTCTTTGTATTTATTCTAAAACTACCCTTTTTAAGCTTTAAGGGATGCCTTTGATTTGCATTACTCCATATTTGCTGTCAAACCCAGTTACAAAGTCCTTCCCATGCAGAACTAAACACAGGCTCAGGCATCACTGACAGAGGGACAGACATGCTTTGATCCACACCATGACCCTGGAGACACTTACTTCTTTCCGTGCCTCATATTCCTCACCTGCTAACATGGACAGGGCTGCCACAAATGGCCATGAGGTAGAGTAAATACAGGACCAGAATACACTGCACACTAATAATGACCAGTACTGAAGGAATTTTAGTTCTCTTCCTCCCCTATTATTACTGATGACAAAATTGAGCCCCAGGAAAGGTTAGTAACACATCTAGGCAGCAGAGCTGAGACTAGAGTTATTCCCTCTTTTCTGCGTTCTTCTTGGTCCCAGCTGTCCACTCAGAAGAATACTAGTGGTTTTCTTGTGTGAACAAGTCTGAGTAAAGCAGATCACGGACAGATCCCAGGGTGCTGAGAGCAGGCTAAGCCTTCTCCCCTGTAGTACAGGACACTCCTGCTTGCTAAAAGTAATCTCAAGGGAAGTGGAGAGTAGAATCTCTTCTAGAAAAGTCTGGAGACCTCATTCTGGGGAAATCTACTACATGAATGATGTGGTTACCTAAGAGGCGGAGGTGGTGGAGGGGGATGGGCATGCCCTCTGGAACTTCCAGCTCCCTTAATGTTCACTGTCCTCTCTCAATAATAGGAACATTGTCTGGGGAATGCTGGCCACCGGAATTGCCACAGAGGGTGTGGTGGCAAATAGCAGGTGCACACACAGAAACAGCCCATATCCTGGTTAGAATCACACCACCTGGGCTTAATCCCAGGTACCAGTTGTATACATCCACTCTAGTTACGTAACCTCTCTGGGCCTCACATTCTTCACCTCTAAAATTAAATCACCACAATACAGACCCTTTTAAAGTCACTGTGGAGTTTAAATGATACATCCCAGCTAAGCATCCTATAAATAGCCTGGCATATAATAACTGCTCTATAAATTTGGCTATTAATATTTTGATATCTTTCCTCCTCCAGTTGTTCTAGCAACACTGTACAACTACCAATTGTAAAATATAATATACTGACACCTAAGAGGACATAAAATAGACATAATTTATGTGTATGTCTGTGTGTATCCTGACACATAGAATATGCATATGCAGGTGGGATAGTGACCAATGTCTACAAATGAGGAGACATTATGCAGGATATTGACAATACTCACCATTCCCCCAAAAATATTTGGAATTTTGATTAAAAAATATATTCACATAAGCTGCAGTTGATACTGCAATATAGTATCAACACTGAAGACACAGAATAGGTTATTTCCTACTTTTAGATTTATATATTTTTATTTTTTCCTTCTTCTCAGTCTTAAATTTCCTTAGGCTCTTTTCTCTGGCAGCTGATTTACTCCAGCAAAATATCTGTTATTTGTAGGTTTAAGGCATATGTTTAGTGGTTTTCAAAATATTTTTGAAATAGGAACTTAAAATAGGAGAATTTACTGTGCCAAGGGATCAAAGGAGCACCATAGTCTTTATTACATTCTGAAGAAACAAGACCATTTAAAACCATACAAAAATCTCAAGAAAATGACTTAATTATGTATAAACATTTATGAAGAGGAAATGGATATGAACTGAGAAATTAAGATGCTGCTTTGACCTTATCATCAAAGTATCATCTCTGAAACTAATCATGCAGTGACGAGGCGATCTAATAGCAGCAGGGGAAAGAAAGGTACCAGAGCTTTAATATTTAAAATGCTGCTTCAGTGGGCTAAGGCAAACTCTCTTGGTTAGGAGATCTGGCACTTGTATGTCAGAGCTTTTAACACATTCTCAGGTTTTCTCTCTGTGCCTTCCAGGTCTCTAATAAAAGGGTACCTGAGTTTGCTGCTACCCTCTCTCCTAGAACCAATAATTGGAGTGATTATGTTAATGCAAAATAAAATATCTCAGCAAATATGGCAGTGACATCAGGCAGTTAATATCTCCAAGCCCATATAATCGCTAAACTTCAGGGAGGCATGGGTTCCTCCAACTCAGAAGTAGCTCCCCACTTTCTCTCATCTTCAACGTCTAAGCTGAATGTAAATGTTGTTTAGACTAGCTATTGCCCAGACATTTCGTCAGCGGTTATGATCTGACTAACTAGATTAGTGGATGCTGCTCTTTCTCTCCATTTCCACCAATGTTCAAGAGCAGCCAGGGAGAACACTGATGAGATCTGCCTGTCTATCTATGGGGGCTCTGGCTGTGTTCAGCACAGTGAGCCTCTCCTGGCCTCCCTAACTCACAGCCATGGGAACATGATGGGAGAACATCCTATGCAATTTGCAGGTGGTTCTTCTGCAAGAGGGTTTTTTCTAGTGTCACTGTTCTGTTTCAATTTATATTTTTCCTTAAGAGTTCAAGGATCAACAGATGCCATATTGATGATCTCTCCCAGCATCTCTATATGGTAGGTGCTATGAACTATTCCAATAGCCATTTCTAGAAAAGAAATTCAGGTGCAGGGAAACTGAAGGGAGTGGCCTAGGTTCATAGAGTGGGTCAAAAGTGTGGAACAAAGAGTGTCCAGACCAAACCTCTGCCTTACGAACAATTAAAAAAAAAAAAAACTTTTAAGGCACCATTGCTTTTCTAATTTCATGGTAAATAAGCACAGAGACAAGAAATGATGCTCTCCTAGAATTCAGAAAGTCTGCATCCTACATTCACACCCCAGAAAGCACTGCACTGTTGCTGCTTTGATGAGCAAAGCAGTTCTGAGAACATTATAGCTGAGGCCAAGAGTTCCCAGTACTCAACCTCGTGGTCAAACAGGCATTCCTCAGGGATGGAGAAGAAGTTAGGCGATCGGTTCCAGAGCAGTGTTCGTTTTTTAATCACAGCCTCTGTTGAGAATCTCAGGAAAACTACAGACCCTCTCCCTAAAAAAATGTATATATATATAAACATATGTAGTTTTATCTACAGTCTGGGCTCAGCGTACAGTTTCCTGGGTTCTTGAAACTCCTGTACTAGTGAAGGAGTTGTATTTTAGGGACTAAGGGATAAAAAAAATCTGTTTTGAAAGAATGAGTGTATGCTATCACTTTCTCTGTTTTCTCAAATTCTAGGGTATAACTTTCTGGATAACCTACTACTTTAGCCAATAGGTACCAATGGCAAGAGATCTTATCAGGTCAGTCGAATTTTCCAAGTGTCATTTCAGACTTCTTTCTCTTCTTTTAGGTGTCAAGTGTAAAATTTAATCTTTTATGTGGAAAGTGCTTTATTGAAGGGTCTATAACAGTCTAGAGAGATTCTTTTTCTGACCAAGGCAACTTTACGTTATTTTCCAGGAGTTTAAAATGGTAGGTAATGCCTTTAGATTGTCTTTATTGGAGGTACAATTCTTCTAAGTGCTAACGCTAAATTGCTTAGGAAGATATTAGTATGCTTAAAAGACATATGAATTGATGTGTCCAGAAGCTGTATGTGTGTGTGTGCGTTTCCCAAATACGTAGGCAAAAATTAAGAACTTAATTACTCAGCTGTTACACCTAAGTAACCTGACACTTCTCCGTAATGGAGTTTGGGGTATGGTTTCTATGTTAGTATTCCTTGTACCTCTTGAGAACAATGGCAAAGGTGAAAGCATCACTTCTAGAAAGTGCAACTCTTGCTACCAGTATATGTTCCATGATATGTTCTCAAGAACCCCTTCTCATAATCCTGTTGAGTTGTCATCTGACCTATTCCAGAAGTCGCCACCTAGTAGGACTGCTAACTCTGTGAATGTACTATGGACACTTACTTGGGAATTTGTGTTCTTGGCTGAGAGCAAGTAAACGTTTCAACTCTGTAGGGAGAAAAAGGAACAATTAAATGTTGAACTACTAAAACAAAAGTCATGTGATCCTAGAGAATCCCAGAGACATCAGAGCAGCATTAGACTTGTGACTGGACTGCTTTTAAACTTACCTTCCTCATCTATCAAGTAGCTCGATGATATTCCTCCATCAGTGTCTGTTACGTCACAGGAGTAAATGCCCACGTCTTCTGTCCCGAGGTCTTTGAAGGTCATCTTTGTCCTGCAGAACAGAGTATTTGTATAAGAAATGAGGCTGTGGGGGTCTGTGGACCTGTGTCTCACACTGTCTCTAGGCATTTGCATAGGCTACTCCGTTGCTGGGACCATACACTCTTCTCTCCCTTCCTGGCCTAAAGCCTACAAATTTGTTCTGTTTCTGGGAAGACTTTCCTAACTTCCTCTTAGTGGGGTATGGTGATGGGAGTGGGGAGTTGGCACATATCTCCCAGCCCCAAACTATGTTGCATATGAATACACAACCCAAATAAAGATATTTTTAGCTGGTCAGCCCTTGCTGGGCAGCCTGAACATTGTGCCCCATAGGGCAGGACCTGCTTTTGGTAACATTGGGAGCCCCTTTTATGTCATTCCCTGCATGTTCCTTTTCTGAGGTTATCATACTGCACTGGTATTGCCTTTTTCATTATCTGTATGCCTCCACTCTACAGCCATTGTGCTCAACAAATATTATGAAATGAATAAATGAGGATGTTGACGGTCTAGGTCACTGTGTTTTCCAATTTTGGTAAGCCATATTGCCAGTTAGTGTCTAAGATCTGCCAAGCATTTAAATGTTAAAGTGCATGAACTGGAAGAAAATTTTATAGTTGACTATCTTTTCTTTAGCCAAATTTATGTTTTACTTCAAGGACTTTACAAGTTAGTGATAGAAAAATATCTTCTAATTATATTCAGTATGGCCTTGCCATTCTCCAACAAAATTACTATTTCTTTATTTCTGAGATATTCTGGGCTTCTGTGTAATAGAAATAATACTTAGGAATATTTTTCTTTACTAAACACAATCTAATATGGTAGGCACTGGAAAAATATAAAGCTTGATGAACAGAGCAAAGTAAAAAGAAAACTCAGAATCTTGGGGCTGAAAAGTGGTAACAGCATAAAATTAATCACTTTCACTCTCTCCCGTTTTACAGAAAAAGGAACTCGAGGTCCTTGGATGTTAAGAGGTCCCCCAAGTCACACAGCCTGCTGCTGGTAGAGCAGGGACAGGAATTCATCTCTCCTGTGTTTCCCAGGAAGAGTTCTTTCCACTGTATTATTGTGTCACTCATTAGTTGTGGTGAAAAAAGCAGAAGAGATTATAATGCAGTTAATTTACCACGACATGAATCAGTAAGTAGCAAGTTCTTCCTTGCCTGCTCCCCATAAGCACCCTCATCATTACTTTAAGATTTCAGAATTTCATAGAATGAGTATCAACTTTAAAGCTCACTTTCATGGCAAGCAAAGCTTTTCAAACATTACAAATGAGATAATATATAAGAAGGCACTTGGAATGAAATAATGGGAAAAGTACTTTATGAGGATTGTTATTTTTAAAAGTTTATACTGGCCATTACTTTTAAAATTACCAGATATAAAAACATCTGTGACTTCATCCCCTTATTCCCAGTATTTAGGATGGAAAGCAGAGAGCTCGCTTCACCTTCCTATCATGAAAGGAAACCTGCTGTTAATTGAAATGGTCCATACTTGCTGCCTTTGCTTTCAACATCTAATCGTGGAGAGTCCTCAGTGGGCACATAATCCTTAGACCAGGTAAACTCAGAATTTGGAGCCATCCGATCACATTCAAAGTTCAATGAAATTACTCCATCATCATCCACATTTACAACCACCTCTTTGGTTCCTAAAAGAACGAAAACAAAGCATGGGCATTTTCTGGTAGAAACCAATCAAGTTAGAATTCCTTACTTTGGGATCCATTACTTTAGCCTTAAAACTTTACTCACACCTGTGTAAGGGAAAAGCCCCAACTACTCATTGCAGACTGACAATCCTGCTGTACAATTCAACTTTTATACTGTAACATGGAATTAAATGAATGTGCTATGTTTTTTTTAGTAGAGCCAACACCATGGACAGTATCGTTTGTCCAGGGTTAATGTGACTGGTGGTACATTTTGAGAGTGGGTTGATCATAATAAGGGGGACAAGCAGCCTTGGGAAAAAGGAAAGTTGAATGGTCCTTATTAGGACCTAATTCATAACTTTTGCTTCAGTAACACCCATACCCAATCAGTCATCAGGAAAGGATAGATACGAGATAAAGAACCCAAAGGGAAACTGAAAGGGATAAAGTAGAGCTCATAAGAACTGCCTATATTCACATGCTCAAATTTTGAAAATCATTTAAGAATAGAGAAATACATGGGAACTTGTTCTACTGATCAGGCAACCATAAATCAATCTAAAGTGCCCCTCTACATGAGAATGACACCAACCTAGAAATGACTGTTATTGAACTCTATGGAAATGAATTTAAGAGATTCAGGTGTTTCAAGAAGACTGGTTTTTGGATTTTAAAAGAAAACAATTGAGTTAATGTTTTGAGCTCCTCTACTTTTAAGAGTTATAATAAATTACACCTTCATCTAATAGAGCCATTCACAGAGAGTTTGTATAGCATATAAAACATTCACATCTGTATCTAAACCCAGTTTGAAAGGTAAAAACTCTTGTGTCACATTGACACTCATTCAATTACCAATCTAAACTTTGTTTTCATATATTAGGAAAAACATTTAATCTCAGAAAGGTACAGCTTTATTTTTTAAAAAGCACAAAAAATATCTTTCAGTAGATACATCCCAAGAGATTGAGTTTTCTGTCTAGATTGTATTGTAAGAAGCCAGCATCCTGACCTACTGGGCAATAAAACTTGTCAGGAGGAAAAAAATTATGAAACTCCTCCTCGAGGAAGGTCAAAAGAAAATGAGTGCCCTAAGAAGAGTCACCAAAAATGCATGGTGACATGGACATCTTGTTTCCAAAGCCTGGCATTTGATCTAATTTGTGTCCTCACTGATGGCAGTGTGTGCCTCAATTATAAGCCTCTAAAAAGTGATTTTTAACATACGGAAAGTTCAGAGAAACTAGTTCTAGAGATTTTTTAAAAATTACTTTTTAAAAAACGAAGTTATTTTCATATTTGGCTATATAGATAAACTTAAAAAATGACCAATTAAGGATTTAATTATTCCCTAAGTGAAATGTCCTCCATGTATTGCTTTTAAAGGGCTGTATCTTTAAAATTCCACTGGAAGCTGCAGACCATGTTTTATTTCTATTCCTGATAACACATGAATAATTTTCACCTTCCATTATCGTATAACAAATGGTGAACAAATGCTTTTATTAAAACTTAAGAGTAATACCTAAGTGTGCTGACGTTTAGACAGTGTTACAATGCATAGCATGGTTGGGTCACAAAGAGAATACAAATTAAAATTTTTTTCTATATCTGTATTGTTATGATGAAGAAAGAACCGATGGAGATTGACTAAACCTTTCTTGCTATTTGCCTAATACCTATTTTGGAGGCACGCATATTGCTCCTATTAATCATTCATTGTCTTACCTGCAATCCCCTTTAAAAGGAGGTGAATCATCCATATGCTTGCTGTTTATTATATTGGAGGTATGACTTAAGTTTACAACAGAAAAAATATTGGTTAGGTTAAGAATCATGATTTGTAATAAAGTGAAAGATTTGGCTTTTCTGCAAAGGAGTCACAAAACTAAAAGACTATAAACAATAATTAGCTTAGCCTTTTCCTTAATTCCATAGACGACCTTTGCAGTGTAATACCTCACCCATCTGGAACTTTGCCCAGATCAGGAAGTAAGGAAAACAAGTCTCTGACGGCCAGTGCATATGTAACAAAGCCCACACACTAGTGCTCCTGCACACTTACTGGAAAATTCCATGGATTGTCACTTGGAATCTATTCATACTTAGCTTGAGATGATTCTAACACGTCTACTTGGTTGGCTTCTCTCAGTAAATTAAACCCAAAGAAGATAGGGAAGTACAAAGCTATTATCAGCAGACACACTAAGATTAAGGAAAATGATAGCATTTTATGAGGCCAGCATTACCCAAATCCCAAAACCAGACAAAGACCCCACAAAAAAAGAAAATTACAGGCCAATATCATTGATGAACACTGGTGCAAATAGAAGACAAGGTCACTGACTTAAAATGATCAGTGCAACCAGACTCTTCCTGAAATCTGGACTTACAAATAGAGAAAGATGTGTTTTTTGAAAATACTTTGAAGAAATTACTTGGGATAACAAAGAATAAATGTGAATTTAAAACAAAAAATCATCTCTTAGACAATTTAAAATTAGAAAAGCAAAAAAAAGTGGACAAAAAATAAAAATAAAAGTAGACAAAACAATTGTAAAATGAGTTCAGAGTTTCTTATATCTGGAAAGGAAGGATGTGTTGGACTGTAGATTCCTTTTTATATAATGAAGTAATAAATATGTTTATCTGGGAGGGTCCATATTTTCTGCATATTAAAATCTAAGAGGGATTAATAGTGGAATTTCTTAAATAAAGGAGTCCTAAATACACAGTGGGCAAAAAATGCTATGGCAGTTTTACAAAGGTTATATGATATTCAAATGTTTGCTTCTTTTTATAAGTACCCTGGAAGAACCAAGAGCAATGTAATGAGAGCATTTCTTATAGACTGCAGGCTAATCCCCCAGACAGTGCCCAGGGAGGTGAACCTGGTGCCACGTCACAGTGAGAAGGGCGGGGCCACGACATCTTCAGATGTTCTTTGTTGAATGCCCCATGGCTTTCTGAGGCTTTGCCAGCACTGAGCTGCTGTAAGTTCATGGTTAAATTCATAAATGTCTAAAGAGCCACATTCTCTAAAGCTGATTAATATATGATCAAAACGGTTGAGATACCTAATGGGCAGGCAGTAAGTCTGATGTTTTGCTGTCCCATTATAGATATCCCTATGGACAGTCTGGTCTGGATGAAAGGCCATCCCACCTTTCACAGAGCTGGGCTGGAAAGTGGACCCAAATTTGTTGGACTTAGATTTTCTAAAAAAAAAAAAACACCTTTGAATCTCATCAGAAACATGAAGAATTCAGTTAAGAGCATAGGAGATTTGGCTATAGAAAACTAAAGAAATGTTTTGGTCTGGAAAGATTCTAAGAAGAGCTGTCTCTAGTCAGCTGTCTCAACCCTAAACAAATTCTTAATTTGAACACAGAGGGATATCAGACTATGTGGAACGGCATTTTAATGGTCCCTCTGGGCTTGCTACTATACCCAGTAAGTGAATGGGTTAAGGTATGGCCCAGGACTACAGTGAACTATTTGGAAATTAATTTTATCCCACTTTTCTCTCTCCTCCAAAAAATGATTTAAAAAAAAGATAAAATTTAAAAGCTGAAATTAAACCCCAGTAAACTATTCACCTTTCCATACATTTCACAATTTGATCTGAGAATCCTTTTGCATATAGTCTTTTACATCAGCATTAATAGATCACTTTCATAAGCTTTGGTTATTTGTCTTCCATGTTGCATGTATATGTGTGTCATGTTTAAAGAACTGGACAGTAGGACAGAATAGAAGTGGGGAGCAGTGAGTTAATGTGATCAGCCGTAGAGAACACTGAACTCCCCTGTTGCTAAGATGAGGATTGCTGGCTGACCCACCACTTTGGTGCCTACGTCATAGCCGCCATGATGAGATATCTAGGTTTAAGGGTACCTGCTGTGACTATAAAACAGAGTCATGCTCACTGGCCAAAACCTGGTAATCATTCGATGTTTTCTTCATTTAATAAATGACTACTATATACTGCCACTAGGCCCTCAAAAGAAAGACACAGTTCCTAAAAGAGCTCACAGTCTAATGCACATTCACAAGTCTGGTTTCATACAAGAATTACGCAAGGAGCTAAACAAACAAAAATGAACCTATGCCCAGGCTCAGTCCTGGAGATTCTGATTTAATTGGCCTGAAGTGGAGCCTGGAATGGAGTCAGAATTTTCAAAAAGTTCCTGACATGTAATGTGGAGCCAAGGCTGAGAACTACTGTTCCAGTGGGTGAAAGAGAAAAAGTTAGTACGCAAATACCAGTGAAATGTTCTAATTAGCCTGTCAAGCTAATCTTTAATAGCCTGGCTTCCTGCTCCAGAATCCTTTAGGATTCCACCTCTAAGCTGCTGAGAACACATCAGCATTCTCGCCCTACCAGGTTCTACACCAACCAGTGTTCAGAAACTGGGACTGGCTAGTAGGATGTCAGCTGAATCCTAGCTCATTATTGTGTCTGGTGGAACGTGATTCTAACCGGCCTTGCTCCCAGTGACCACGTCTCCTAACTTCCTGTAACACAGTTCCTGCTTGGGACTCTGCCCTGTGTCTGGGTTCTCCGGCCCGTCACTTGGACTGTCTGTTGCTGAGTCCCTTTAAGGACACCTGTAGCCTGTACTGCCAGTTATCTGCTGCCCTCCAGATCACTTGCCACACCTTGGCAGGTCTCTCTCTTATCTCCCATGTGACCTGGCTCACCTGGCCTCCACCTCCACTCCAGGCCTGAGGCACTCAACACAGATACTACTGGAAAAATACCAAATATCAAGAATAGAAGTGCCTTTTATGTACCAACAACTCTAAATTAACTGTTTTCCAGCTTATTCTTAAAGGCTTTTTAAACTAAGAGATTTCTTGGTAAAGCATGAAACAACTTAGTCTGTTTTCTGGATCCTTGTTATCAGCATGATTAGACTTTGTGACAGAGGCTGAGCTACATCTGCTGGTATATTTGTCGACTTCAAAGGGTGACCAGTAATCCTACCATGGTACCCCTGTGGATCAGGTTAACTTTTAACTGGAGTTCAAATTACACTTGAGTTATCTTGTTAGATATATGTGAGGTTTGCTGTTACATGGTATGCTGTATTTTTCTATCTGAAATTTTAGTAATGCATTCCTACCAATGTTGTTGTTCTAAAATAGCAATCCAAGTTTTCACATCCCAAGTCTTGAAATTGGTAACATGCTCCCCTCTCCTTCCTCATCCATTTGAACATAAAATAAGTATCTGGGTAAAAGTAAACATCGGTATTTAACAAAATTAATACAGACAACCTTAGCCTACATATACGTTTTACAGGGACTTATGAAACTGTAATACCTAGTTTATAGCATATTCAGGTATGGGCAATAGTTTATGAGCACCTACCAAACTCTCATCATACAATGTTGTAAACTCTGGCTTTTCCATGAGATCTTAAGCCTGGTGTGCTGTGATGATGACCTACTGTTCTACTTTTGGTGCCTACACAGCACTTGGTTTATAGTAGGTGCTCAAGAAATACATGTTGCAAGAATGAATGTGCTTATTGCATATGGAATGAGTTCAAGTGTTTCATGGGTTTTGGTGCTCTTTTATGGTCAAGCATTTTGACTTTGTGCATCCCAGAATTCTTTCCTTGGCTACGAGCCAATGATTAGATTAACCTGGTGCTGTTTTGTGTACTGGTATCTGCAACTGTTGTTTGCAGTTACAGTTTGGGAATGGAATGGCCACAAAAATGACTTTTGGTGCCTTATTCCAAATCAGTGAAACAAAGCTTTCACCCAGGAGCTCACCAGCAGATCCTTTTCTGGTGGTAAAATTTCCATTGTGGTGGCTTTATTAATGTCATGCCTGGCTACCTGCCATTCTGAGGCTATTGATAAGAAAATGAGAAATCAATTTAAGCTTTCTTTAGTCAATCAGATTTGGAATCCACTGCTTAAAGGGTGCTTTTAACTTACTAATGACTACATTAAGTGTTTACTTTCACAGTAATCTAAAAGTTATCCTTACAAGGATAGACCGCAGTTGGGTCCTCTTGCGTGTCGATTTGCTTCTTTTTCTTTCCTCACAGTTGGCAACTAAAGGGTCTGATTTCTATAGGTATGAGTCTTGGTGTCTTGGTGTATACTTTTAACTGGCACATCATGTTCTTAGTATACTTCTGTTTTCTCATGAAATTTTACAAAGGGTACTCATATTGGGTGTGGCAGTCTCCACACACCCACCATGCTTTTGTATAGTCACTTTTGCTGCAGCCAGGTTTTTGACAGTAGTTGTAAGAGTAGTTGAAAACAGGTTTTGAGGTAGTAGAATGAAAGGTGCAAATATTTCCTCAAAAGGTACATCTGATATACTTTTCAGGTAACATATAACGAGAGCAGTGTTTTCTATGTTTACATTCTTTTGTCATCATAAAAATAGATGTTATGTTATATATCCACGGTTTATTTTAATCTGAAAATAAGGGTGAATTAAAGTGAAAGTGCTTAGACTACAATAAATATAAGCTTAAAATAACTGGGTAATACTTATCCTTTCTCATCTCCAGTGCTTTTTTTAAAAAAATCATCTTAATTTTAAAACTTTATAATTGAGATACAATATTATATTAGTTTCAAGTGTACAACATAGTGATTCACTATTTGTATATATTGTGATATGATCACCTTGACAAGTCTAGTTACGATATGTCACTATGCAAAGATATTATGAAGTTATTGACTATATTCCCTCTGATGTACCTTGCAGTGCTTTCTTTTATGCAGCTTTTATGAACTGAACTGAACTATGTAACTTCAAAAAATGATAAAGACTAAATGACAGAATAAATAATTATTATACAATGATCTGAAATTAGGTGTGCAGTGAACACTATAAACTTTGTTCTCATACAAAGGGGAAGACTGTCTTTCCTAGTCTAATTATGGCATCTCTTGAAACTGGGAAGAGAGGGACACCTCAACTCTTTAGCTCATTCAATTAGGACTGTTGTCAGTTTAACTGATGGGTCAGCAAACTGTGGGCCATGGGCTAAATCTGCCCCATTGTCCCTTCTGGTATAGCCTGCAAGCTAAGGATGCTTTTTTCATTTTTAAACAGTTGAAAAAAACCCCAGATGATTAATATTTCAAAATTATTTAAAATTCAAATTCATAATGCATGTAATTTACAATGCATTAACATGCACAATATAATATGCACAATAAAGTTTTATTGGAACACATCCATGCTTACTAGTTTTATATTGTCTATGGCTGCACTTGTGCCAAGGCAGAGTTGAGTTTTATGACAGGGACCGTTTGGCTGTAGAGTTACAGCTGGCCCTTCAACAGAAAAAGTTTGCTGACCCCTGGTTTTACTTAATAGCTACAGTTACATAAATCCTACTTTTGCTTAAGGATCATGCTTGCTAATTAGGCTGTTCCAGTTTCCCCTATTACTGGAAAAATATTCTTGTGGGGACTTAATCATCATAGTATAAGAGGAATAACATCCCAGAAATGTGTGCTTGAAACAATCAGTACAGGAAGCATAAACTGATCAAGAACTTTCCTATTTTTAGTTATGAACCAGAATCCCCTGGACTACTTCAAACCTGGCTGACCGCTATCCTGAGGTACCTGTGATGCAGTAAATGACTGTCATGTCCTAAGGTCACACCAAGTACTCAGCATACACTGATAATTTTGAAAATTAGGAATAACACAGGCAGTAAGGTTGAATGTTACTTTGGTATCTTGCACAGATGAGATTAACTTTAATTAAAAAGTAAAAGCCCACCTGGACGGGTTTCTGCTACAACAGGCCCAGCAAGTTCTGATGGCTTGCCGACGCCCACCTGGTTTATGGCTCGGACACGGAACACGTAGCTGACACCCTCCTTGAGGCCACGCACCTGGAAGGAGCAGACACAGAAGTGACCAGTGTTTTGTGTCATTTAAACAGAAGTGCACTTCTGTAAAGATGATTTGGTTATATAGCACAGAGGGTACAGGACTACGGTTGTAGACCTGATTCTGTCAAAGACTAAGCGTGTGGCTCTAGCTTTAGACTTTCTTCTCACTGACCATCTATAAGCAGGTGAGGCATTTCTAAGATCTCTTGCAAGTCAGATGTTCTCTCTTTTTGAGATAATTTAATGTCTACCAGCACCAGAAACAAGAGACTTGGTATGCTTTAAAGGAGTTACCCACCTTATTCTTTGGTCAAAAAGACAAAATACAAAGTGTTCATAAGAATATGTATGCTACCTTTTTTTCCTGATCCTTTTGAGACATTCTATGAAAAATTTCAGATAAAATTCCTGGCAAGTGGAATCAGAAGCATGGATCATGGACACTTCCCATTTGCTTAAAAGTATGTTAAGGCACTAGAACATAAACAAATAAAAACTTTCCATATAAATTTAACAGAGTTATTACTCACTTAATAGACAATTAACATGATTGTGAATTTTAGTAATTTGTGAATAATTAAAAGGTATTGAAATTCTAAATGCCTACATTTTCAATAATCAAGATGTTTGCTGAGGACCTATTATGTGTGTGTCACTGAGACACAGTTGTGAGTTTAAGAGTTGTAAAAACCACTATGTTTTTATATGACAGTCCGGCTTCATAATTTTTTTGAGACTTTCTTTGGGTTCAGCACAGTCTCATTAGTATTATAAATACTGTTAATATTTTACCCAAAATTATCTTTTTCTTTTAAAAACATATGAGTTTTAAAGGCTTTATTACATTTGAAGAAGTAATTTATTACATACAGAGGGCACAATCTTTTCCCCAAAATGTTGTGATGGTGATCAATATTCAAAATGTGATTCAAATCAAACAGAGGTAGAATACATTTATTCAACTAAGTGAAGTGTTTGTGACCATGTATTTAAATGAGATATCTTAACTAGTTAGGTTTTTAATCTAATTATTTAATTGTATTGTGTTAATGACAACAGAATGTCACTAAGTAGTGATAGCTTTCACTGGAGCTAATGGATTTTTTAAATGGATTTTAATCTGTGAATAAATGTGAATTTAGGCACAGGCTAGTTGCATAGATTTTGATGTATTTAAATCCTATGTTTAGAATGACGTCAGGCAGCTGTAGATTTGCAGAAAGGAACAGAAACGTTTCCCTGCGGTGATAAAAAAATAGGGCAGCTGTCAGGTGGCTGCCACATCTGCACCCGCCACTGAGGTAACATGTGGCTGTGAGTCAGATTTCTGCAACATGTCGTAGGAAATGACTCCACATCCTAGTGTCTAGTCTCAGGTGTGACAGGAATATTCTTTCACTCTTCCACTGCCTCTGGGCCATGGCCACTGGCCTCAAAGCACCAGGCGTGCATAATCTCAGCACATCTATTTTCCTTTTCTTGCTTTTTTCCCCCTTCTCTCTAATTCCAAGGAATGGCATTCCTTTGCCTTCTCCTGGATAAGGTTATCTGTGCCCCAACCCCTTCCAATTATTCTCCCTCTCTCACCACACTGTCTCACCAGGCTGTCATTACCAATACAAATGGAAAATGAGGAAGCACGGGTGCTAGTTAAATCCTTCTGGTTGAAAGTAATGCATCTTTAACTCCCTAGGAACCCGTGGTGCTCAGAGGAATGTGGGTGCTTCCACCAGACACCAGTCAGCCCACTGTGCTCTGGCTGCAGTGCTGCTAGATTCTCCCATCCGTGGAGCTCCATGTGTTACCCTCACTCAAATTCACCATATTAAACTTCTTAACCTGTGTATTTTTTTCTCCATTTCAGGCCTGAAATTTTTCTGAATATAAAACATCTGAAAGAGTGAGTCTACATCTAAATGGGTATGGGGATTACAGGACATCTTTACTTGTCTTTATGCCTTTATTGTTTGAATTTTTCATCATAAGCATGAGTCAGTTATAATCACAAAAATCATGATTCTGTTTTCACTTTAAAAACTGTGGGACCAACTCTAAAGATCATTTCCTTATGGAAAGTTCACCTTCCAGTTTGTGAGGTTCACTCAACCTCAGTGTCTCCCTCATAACTGGCCTTTTTCTTCTTTTTAATGAGTGATATTAACCATTCTTTGATGCATTTAAGCTCTATTAGTTTTAATTCCTGACCATTTTTGCAGGCTGTTGGTCACCTTTGCTTGGCTCCTCATGCTCGTTTTGCTTCACCAGCATCAAGTCCAACCTCAGCTCTAGGGATCCTGGGCTGTGGCAGACTGAGGATCTGGAAATCACTCCGGCCATAAACAAATGCCGCCACCACCCGTAATGTATTGGATCATTATTTTACACTGTCCTTTGGGGGATTCTTTGAATCTAGAGGCCTCCCACTCAACTGAGCAGCCAAACAAACATCCTAAATTCCTGACCTTTCTTGACCCTTGACTTTTTATCTTCCCCATGCAATGTGACCTTGTTATCTTCTCAGGGTTTTGTAAGAGGCTGGACAGCTCATTGGCCTAGGCTAAATTAATGGCATGTTGGGTGTAATGGTTTAAGGGTCATCTCTCTTGGAGGATATATTTATATCTTTTATGGGGACTGTAAATGCCTTAACAGCAGAGAGTGGCTGACAGATGGTATGAATTTTAGTCCACAGTGGCAGGTTGATGGGAGAAATCTTTTAGACCAGGCATACTCTGAATATCTCTCCATGCCCCCGTCTAGGTAGGTCTGTTCTGCCAACAGATAGGGCTGTACACTGAATGCAGTGTGTGGCTTTCTGTGTGACTGTGGTGAAACCACACGTCATCTTACATAATAAGAACTGGAATTATATCTCCCAGTTTGTGCCCTATTGTGGATTCAGCATCTCCAGATGCTACTGCTGATAATAGAGGAAAAACTTCTTTTGAAATTCTCATTTGGTATAAGTAAGAGATTCAGTGGCTTTAGCAGAACAATCTTTGGTAGATAATGACTGTGGTGAAACCACACGTCATCTTACATAATAAGAACTGGAATTATATCTCCCAGTTTGTGCCCTATTGTGGATTCAGCATCTCCAGATGCTACTGCTGATAATAGAGGAAAAACTTCTTTTGAAATTCTCATTTGGTATAAGTAAGAGATTCAGTGGCTTTAGCAGAACAATCTTTGGTAGATAGAATTAGGAATTTGCTCAGTTAGAACATGCCAGAGGAATCTGGAAGGCAATGACCTGGATAAGGGTAAAGACAAGGTCAAGAGCTGAGTGAACCCATCCCACTAGCCTGCGAGAGCTCATGGGAGCACAAGTGAGAGGAGCCAATGAAGTGAGGCAGGGAGAGACTCAAAGAATCAGTAGGCAAAGGCTTGCCAGTGTGAACTACAAAAATAGCACCCTCAAATCAAAACCATCCTCAAAAAATATAAGAGGTAGGAATGAGAAGGTCACCTTTTGGGGATGGGCAGTAATGTTTAAGCCTGGGAGTAACAAAAATGTGAGGTGGGTAAGTGGAGGCAATAAGGGGAAAGAAGAGAGAGGGGAGAGCTTGTAGATGTTTTCCAAAGCTAGGGCAAGGGATTCAGATTAAATGTGACCAAATTGTTGTCCAGCATCAGAAACTTCCCCCAATCCCAACCACTGCCAAGTGGAATCTTACCAGGAACCCAATATATGAAACAGATCAGTCATTCGAGCTTGCTAACTAAAAAGTTAACATGATTACCTTTAAGTTAAGGAGCATTTCTTCTTGTAAAAAAAAAAAAGTTTCTCAAACTATGAGCAAACTCTTACCTTCAGGTATTTGTTTTTAATAGCTGATTCATTGAGTCCTCGCCACTGATCATCCCTGGCACTGGCCTCCTTCATGTCCACAAAGTAACCAGTGACTGGAGTCCGTCCAGAGTGGATGGGAGGTTTCCACTGCAGAACTAGGGAAGTTTTCCTGACTTCACTGTACTTGAGGCTGTGCGGTGGTCCTAAGAAAAAGACCAATGCATAAAAATCATAATGTAGAGAAGAAAATTCATATATGTGTAAATCTAGAGCCACATTGAATGGCTGATATTCTTTTGTAAAATTCACCTTTCCCATGGAAACAAGTACTTTGCGATCATTTCATGTCAGGTTCCTCAATGGCTCTACTTCAACATACTGAGTCCCTCTGTGGGCAGCAGGGGGTTAAGGCCAGCTCCAGGTACCCTTCAGAGGTTGGATAAAACTTGGCTTGAGGTCGTCCTCAGGCAGTGGTCCTTACCTTTTATCAGAACAGTTTAATTTGGTTGCAGATTGAGTTTCAGATTATTTTTGGGTAGTCTTCAGAAAATTCTCCCAGATCTCAAATTAGGATGAAGAAAGCAACCCTATCTGATGGTATATTAATGTAGGTAGCAATATTTCTTTCTAAATCAAAGGACCATATAGTAAAATAACTTTCCTCTGGAGGGAAATCTTTCCCATAAAGCACATAGGGGTAAAAACAAACAACAGTTACAGTTTGCAAAGAACTTCCACCAAAATAAATACTATCAATCCTGTGGGTCCTGAATCTGTGCTAAATACTGCCAGGCAAGGCACTTTACATTCATTTATTTCATTCAACCTTAAGGCAATTAACAGAAAGCTGAGAGAAGCCAGGTAACTCGATCAGCCTGTTCGGGAAGAAAGCCAAATAAATGTTCTCCCTGGGTGCACTTGAGGGAGAGTCCAAACTACTAACTGCTGGCCTGCACATCTACACGACCATCAGCTGCCATGCAGGTGATACATTTTCATTTCTTTTTCCCTTTCCTTTCCTTTTTTAAAATAACTGACTTCTAACCAACCAGTCAGAACCATCTGAACTTACTCACAGTGCCCTGAAAGCTGCTGCAAGCACACTCTATCACGCTATGCTTTGGCATTTTGTAGATAACTCAGCATTTCTTGGGCCCCTTATCTTGGTTTAACAGTCACAGATATGAGTCATCCTGGTCTTCTGCCAATGTCCTGTGTGGAATAGGCTTAAATAATAACACCAATATCTTACACTGGTGTGGTATGTTCTGTTTTGCAAAGGGCTCTTAGACTATGTTCTGGTGTCATCTTCAGAATGCAGTGAAGCATCCCAGCAGGCAGCAATCGCCCAGCAGCCTCTTTTGACAACTCTCTCTCTCTATCAGGCCTGCTCAGAATTTCTTAATCTCTAGTCACTCACATTGTAACTTCATTCAGGAATGGCAAGAGTTCAAAAACAGATCCACTTTTGGTTAGGTGACAGAAAGAGATGAAGAAATATCAACTGGCTTCAAGGAGGTGCAAGGAAAGGCAATTTGATTGCCTCTTACATTTGCTGAAGATGAGTGAGCGCTTGGGCTTCTCTTTTAATCTTGTTATTCAACACCTGATAGAGAAGTGAAGCAGATGGACAACCACTGATGAAGGCAAAATGACGGTTCCTCAAGGGCACTAGGGCTTCAGACTGGGGGAGGGAGTGGCATTACAGATGGGGCTGGGTCCACCCAGTGTGCCCCAGTGAGACCTTGTGTTCTAAACTGGTGCCATACCAGTTGTTACAGATGTTGAACATCAAACTCAGGTGGGAGACTTAGTCATCTTGTGGCACTCATTGGGTCTCCAAAGTTAGTACTACTGGAAGCAAAATAAAATCACCCACCAAAGACATTAATGTTGCTAGTTTGAATCTTCATGGCTTATGTTTGTATTCAATTTTTTAATTGGTTTAGTGTTGTAGCTGTGTAAGAGTTAGAAGCATAGGTAAATGTTTCTGCCTTCTCCCCATTTGCTGCCCTAGCCAGCCAACCACTGTCTGTGACGACCTCCAAAGGAGAGCATTCCCAGCCAGGTTCCAGGATCTTTGTTGTGATGCAGAATTAGGGCAAAGTGTAGAGAGAAAGGACTGAAGAAGTAAGCAGAGAGAGGCCAGGACTTGAGTCTGAGGCAGGGGTATTAAGTCCACCTATATAATATAATGAAGAGATAGGAGCAAGGGAGGAGAGAGACAATGAGGCAGAGAAGCCACACTGGCTGACTGGAGAAAGAGATTTTGTGAGGTTGGAAAATGGGAGGTTCCAGAGCAGTATGAGAATGCAGGAGAACTAGGAAGTGCAGGAACAAGTTTTTGAGAAATTTTGATGTGGGATATGAATTGGATACCTTTTAATTGGCCTTTAAGAAGCACAAGCAAAAATGAGAATTGCTTTTATGATCATGTGGCACTTAAACTGTGTGATTCTGCTAAGTCCTGCTGCATGCAGAGGTGGGGCTCTGGGGGCTGTAGGATATATTTGGAATATAAGTACAAGAAATTATACTCAGTTTTATATTGGTACCTATTATATAATAGGATTGTGAAAATATTTTAAACACAAGGGGCCAAGAGAATTCTTTTCCTAGGAGTTGTCTGTGTAGCACTTCATCTAGATCCAAGTTGTAGGTTCTTTTGGAAGAAACGCCAAGCCTCAGTGCTAAGATGTGGTTTTCACAGTTTACCTGGAACAGCAATGGTCCACTCTTCACACTTGAAGCATTCGCTTACTGCTGAGGGCTCACCCAGCCCAGCAATGTTCATGGCTGCCACCTGGAACTGATACACCAAGTTCTCCTTCAAGTTGCTGACCTGCAGTATGGATGACAGTAAACATTTCAGGTTTGTTTTTTCCAGTCGTTCAGCATTTTATCACTTACTTCTTGTGTCAGACACACCCTCGGATGACTCTCAGTGAGTCACACACTTTTGTCGTCCTCTCCCTCTGAGGATGCATGGAATCTGTGACCTGCGTCTAGCCAGCAGAATATAGCAAAGGCATTGGACTATCAGTCCCATGATTGTTGTTACATCACATGGCAAAGGAGGAGGGGCATTACAGAGGTAATGAAGGCCTCTAACCAGTTGTTTCTGAGTTAATCAAAGGGAGGCTATCTTGGGTATGTCTGATTTAATCAGATAAAAGCTCTCAAAAGGGGGTTTGGGCCCTTCCATAAACACTGTTCTGATGGCCTTGAGGAAGCACTTGCTATCCACTCACATTTTGAGAAGGATAGCCTCTTGAAGCAAAGGGTTCCAGACTTATAGCTGCAAGAAACTGAACTGTGCCAACAACTGGATGAGCTTGGAAGAACTCAGCTTGGAAGAGCCCAGCTGACCCTGGACTGCAGTCTGTGAGACTCTGAGCAGAGGACCCACCTTAGCCATGCCCAAACTCCTGGCCCATGGAAACTGATAAAACAAGGATGGGTTGTCATGAGCCACAAAGTCTGTGGTAATTTGTAATACAGCTATAGAAAACTAATGCCTATACACAGGGAAATCAAGTGAATTTTAAGCTAGGAATCAAAATATTCAAATTCTTGTAATGTTTCAGCTCTTACATGTTTCATGACATACTGAGTGACCTAATATTTTCTATACCCCTCAGTAGGAATTTGGTTGTCATGAGGGTAAATATATGTGACAAAATAATGAATGTGAAAACATTTACAAAATAGAAATGATGGAATATACTAGTTTGAAAAAAAATCCACAAACTATAAATCATCCTTTAAATATGAAAAATGCTCACTAAATACAGGGATTGATGGAATCAGCTGAGTTAATAAAGCTTACCTATCCTATGATTTAAGCCAAGCATGACAAATCTCTTTAGCTCTTTTTCTTATTAAGGTATGATTGATATACACTCTTATGAAGGTTTCACAAGAAAAAACAATGTGGTTACTACATTTACCCATACTATCAAGTCCCCCCCATACCCCAATGCAGTCACTGTCCATCAGTGCAGCAAGATGCCACAGATCCACTATGTGCCTTCTTTGTGCTACACTGTTCTCCCCGTGATCCCCCACACCATGTGTACTAAACATAATACCCCTCAATCCCCTTCTCCCTCCCTCCCCTTTGGTAGTTCATTCTTGGAGTCTGAATCTGCTGCTATTTTGTTCCTTCAGTTTTGCTTCATTGTTATACTCCATAAATGAGGGAAATCATTTGGCATTTGTCTTTCTCTACCTGGCTTATTTCACTGAGCATAATGTCCTCCAGTTCCATCCATGTTGTTGCAAATGTTAGGATTTCTTTTCTTCTTATGCCTGAATAATAAATATTCCATTGTGTATAGGTAACACATCTTCTTTATCCATTCATCTACTGATGGACACTTAGGTTGCTTCCATATCTTGGCTATTGTAAAAAGTGCTTCAATAAACATAGGAGTGCATATGTCTTTTTGAATCTGAGAAGTTGTAATCTTTGAGTAAATTCCAAGGAGTGGGATTCCCGGGTCAAATCGTATTTCTATTTTTAGTTTTTTGTGGAACCTCCATATTGCTTTCCACAATGGTTGAACTAGCTTACGTTCCCACCAGCAACGTAGGAGGGTTCTCCTTTCTCTGCATCGTTGCCAGCATTTGTATTTCTTAGTCTTTTCCAGGCTGGCCATCCTAACTGGTGTCAGGTGATATCTCATTGCAGTTTTAATTTGCATTTCCCTGATGATTAGTGATGTGGAGCATCTTTTCATGTGTCTCTTGGCCATCTGAATTTCTTCTTTGGATAACTGTCTCTTCATATCCTCTGCCCATTTGTTAATCGGGTTATTTGCTTTTTGGGTGTTGAGGCATGTAATTTCTTTATGTATTTTGGGTGCTAACCACTTGTCAGATAAGTCATTTACAGATATACTCTCCTGTACTGTAGGATGACTTTCTGTTCTGTTGATGGTGTCCTTTGCCATGCAGAAACTTTTTTAGTTTGATATAGTCCCATGAGTTCATTTTTGCTTTTGTTTCCCTTTCTCGAGGAGATGGGTTCAGGAAGAAGTTGCTCATGCTTATATTCAGGAGATGTTTGCCTATGTTGTCTTCTAAGAGTTTCATGGTTTCATGACTTATATTCAAGTCTTAAACCATTTCAAGTTTAATTTTGTCTATGGGGTTAAACAATAATCCAGTTTCATTCTCTTGCATGTAGCTGTCCAGTTTTGCCAACACCAGCTGTTGAATAGGTTGTCATTTCCCCATTGTATGTCCATGGCTCCTTTATCATATATTAATTAACCATATATGGTTCGGTTTATATCAGGGCTCTCTAGTCTATTTCATTGGTCTATGGGTCTGTTCTTGTGCCAGGACCAAATTGTCTTGATTACCGTGGCTTTGTAGTAGAGCTTGAAGTTAGGGAGCGTAATCCCCCGAGCTTTATTCTTCCTTCTCAGGATTGCTTTGGCTATTCGTGGTCTTTTGTGGTTCCTTATGAATTTTAGGACTATTTTCTCTAGTTTGTTGAAGAATGCTGTTGGTATTTTGATAGGAATTGCATTGAATCTATAGATTGCTTTAGGCAGGATGGCCATTTTGACAATATTAATTCTTCCTATCCATGAACACAATATGTGTTTCCATTTATTGGCATCTTCTTTAATTTCTTTCATGAGTGTCTTGTAGTTTCAGAGTATAGGTCTTTCACTTCCTTGGTTAGGTTTATTCCTAGGTATTTTATTCTTTTTGATGCAATTGTGAATGGAATTGTTTTCCTGATTTCTCTCTCTGCTAGTTCATTGTTAGTATACAGGAATGCCACAGATTTCGGTGTATTAATTTTGTATCCTGCAACTTTGCTGAATTCAGATATTAGATCTAGTAGTTTTGGAGTGGATTCTTTAGGGATTTTTATGTACAATAACATGTCATCTGCAAACAGGGACAGTTTAACTTCTTCCTTGCCAATCTGGATGCCTTTTATTTCTTTATGTTGTCTGATTGTCATGGCTAGGACATCCAGTACTATGTTGAATACAAGTGGGGAAAGTGGGTATCCTTGTCTTGTTCCTGATCTTAAAGGAAAAGCTTTCAGCTTCTTGCTGTTAAATATGATGTTGACTGTGGGTTTGTCATATATGGCCTTTATTATGTTGAACTACTTGCCCTCTATACCCATTTTGTTGAGAGTTTTTATCATAAATGGATGTTGAATTTTGGCAAATGCTTTTTCAGCATCTATGGAGATGATCATGTGGTTTTTGTCCTTCTTTTTGTTGATGTGGTGGATGACGTTGATGGATTTTCAAATGTTGTACCATTCTTGCATCCCTGGAATAAATCCTACTTCATCATAATGAATGATTTTTTTGATGTATTTTTGAATTTGGTTTGCTAATATTTTGTTGAGTATTTTTGTATCTATGTTCATCAGATATATTGGTCTGTACTTTTCTTTTTTTTATGGTGTCTTTGCCTGGTTTTGGTATTAGAGTGATGCTGGCCTCATAGAATGACTTTGGAACTATACCCTCCTCTTCTATTTTTTGGAAAACTTTAAGGAGAATGGGTATTAGGTCTTCACTAAATGTTTGATAAAATTCAGCGGTGAAGCCATGTGATCCAGGGGTTTTGTTCTTAGGTAGTTTTTTGATTACCAGTTCAATTTCATTGCTGGTAATTGGTCTGTTCAGATTTTCTGTTTCTTCCTTGGTCAGCCTTGGAAGATTGTATTTTTCTAGAAAGTTGTTCATTTCTTCTAGGTTATCCAGTTTGTTAGTCCAGCTCTTTCTTTATATATATATATATATACACACACATACACACACACACACATATATATATATATACACATACACATATATGTGTATATATACATATATATATGTGTATGTGTATATATATATATCTCTAGCCTATGCCTGAGTTGATCATGAAGTCATTAAGTTCACCCAAGAGGGCTTGTCTTGCCAGTTGTTTAGGGTGTACTTAGAATAAATGACTATGTGTTACACTAACAGAACAATGTAAATTCCTTTTTTGATTAAACACACACACACACCCACACACACACACATTCTCTTTAAGAAAGGGGATTCTTTTTAATTAAGAGAAACGTTTATGTAGATAACGTGGATCTAAAAGTACTTTATGCAGGTAACAAGGTTGCTTTGGGTCCCTATTAGTGTGACCAACCATTTCAGTTTCCCTGGGATTATTAGTTTAAAAGGCTGCAGGACATATAGTGCTAAAACTGGGAAAGATCCAAGCAAACTGGAAAAGTTGGTCACCCTAGACTTAGGTGAAACATTATAGCATGGGAATTCTATTTCTGGTAATGGTAAACTAGGCTATAGAGATTAATCCAACCTTCTAAAAATATTAAAAATAGTGGATAAAAATATCTTTTAAAAATATTCTCAAAAGCATCAAATTAGTGTCAAGATGTTACAGAATTATCAGGGCAGAATAAAGGGAAATAGGGAACAAAGGAAGATAAATGGAACACAGAAGTAGTTTTTGCCTTAGATATATTTGCCCATAGAGATAAACTGACCTTCAGGTTTGATGGTCTCACAAGCAGAGGTACTTAAAAATCAAAGCCCAGAGCCAACCTAAGAAGGGGATAATAAAATGGAACCCTCTATACATTAAACTGGACCTTCAGTAGACTTCATTCTTTGATGGTAAAGTTGAATCAGAAATAGACTTGCTTTCATAAAGGTACGCAGTGGAAATTCTCAAAATAGTAAAGTCCTGTACTTGATTTAAGAAAGAAATGAACAGTTGGTATCCCCAGGCACCTTGCAGAAGCAAATGCAAATCCTCTCCAGAGAAAGGAACCTTTATCCTGAACCTCAAATTATTCATACAAATAATATTTTAAGGACAATGAGCAGCACAAAATCATGGATAGCCAAGCACAGAAAACAAGACATCATGAGCCAGACCACAAAACCAATGATAACAGGTACAGACCTGCAACAATATTAGATAATGGAATTATCAGATATAGATTAGAAAAACAGCTATGCTTACTGTGTTTTAAACATAAAATGCAAATTTAAAATATCTGCAGGAAGAATACAATTAGTGTATCACCATTTTGCCTCTGATGAATGAATGAATCTAAGCAATGATTGTCCATGAATATGAATATCACAAGAAGAAACTGGACATGTGACTCCTGATGAAATATTGGAAAAAATTTGAACCTATCCAGCCTCTGGATCGAATTCCCAGAGAGATGTATTAAGCATTTATAAGGGTGCAGCCAGCAAGAGTTTGACATTAAAAAAAAATTTTTAACATACTTAAAAAAAGAAAAAGACTGAAGGGGAACCTGTAAGGTAAGAGGTTTGAGAGCTTTCTCTACCAAATCCAAAACATGGACTTTATTTAAAAAAAGTCAACTGTAAAATAAAGGGGGGTAGAGGGCAAGTGGGAAAACGTGATGATCTTAAAGAAATTATTATTATTTTTTAAGGTGCGATAATGGAATTATGGTTAAGTTTGTAAAATGAATTTATCTTTTAGAAATGCATATTGAAATACTTACAGATATAATGTATGGTGCATGGAATCTGCTTCCAAATAATGAGGGTGGAAGAAAATAGGTGTAGATGGCCCAAAATTACCCATAAACTGATCATTGTTAAATTAGAAAAGAAAAAAAAAGAAATCTAGAGGAAATAGCAAACTATGAAATATATAATATGTGACGTACAAGAAATGAAAAATACAGTAGGAAAAAATAATGGATGTGTTTAACAGGAAATTAAATGTGAAAGGAGAGAATTTGTACCAAACTATTTGAAAATTAGAAGAAATTACATATACCACAGTGCAGGAAGACACAAAGATGGGAAGAGATACAAGTGACTAATAGACATGGAAAACACAGTGAAAATGTCCAATATATGTTCCACTAGAGTTTCAGGAGAAGGGAGAAAATGGGGCAGCAACAATATTTAGGTGGTAATGGCTTAGAATTGTCCAGAAAGATATTACTGAAAAATGCAACCCACAAACTGAAAATCCTTCTCACCCCAAATCCTAGGCAGATACATTAAAAAAAAAAACCTATATATACACACATATTCTAACTGTAGTACACCAAAGAGATATAAAAATATACTATCTAAAACACACTAAAAATACTAAAATTTCTTTTAGAGAAAAGACAAATTAACCCTCAGATGAGCCAATGGGCTAACAGCCGACATGTCAGTGGCAACAATGAGCCAAAAGATAGTGGAATTACATTTTCAAAGTATGAAAGAAAATAACTACCATTATATAATGTTTTACCCAGAATCAATATTTTCAGAGAATGAGAAAAAATAAAGTTATTTTCCAGGCAAACAAAAGTGAAAAGTATGTGCCTTCAGAATACTGTTACTAAAAGAAATTCTTAAAAACAATTTTGGGTTTTGTTTTATGTACTTAGTATGTGTGTGGCACTTCATAAATTGAAATGTTAAATTAAAAGTGTTTGGCATTGAGTTGGGGAAAATACCACCCCCCTGGCCTTACCCTGGTCTCACCTTCACAGCTAGGGGCTTGGCGTGTAAGGGAGTAGTGACTTGTGTGTGGCTAATGATGCTCCAAAGAGGGGAGCCATCAGCTGTGGCAACAGGGGGGTCCCTCAGGTGCTCTGAGGCACGCTGCACAGTGAAGGTCATTGCACAGGCGGCAAAGTGGTGGGCAGGCACACGCGAAGCACCCCTCTGGCCAGCGGAGCCACTGGAATGGGGGATATTTAGCAGGGGATGAGCTGAGTCTAGCCATCATGTTCCTTTGTGATTTGGACACAAGGGTTATATAAAACAAAGTTAAAAATCAAAAGTCATTTGGATCCTGGGACTCTTGAAGCTAGTGGCATATTGGTTATATATATTTTGTAAGTTTTGAAAGAAACGTTAGTTTTCACAATAAGTATACATTTCATAGTAAATATTCTAGGAAGTTATTATGTTTATGTATATGAATCAGAAAGTATAAATCCTTCCTGGTCAGCCAAACTACTTCTATCTATGTTGGTATATATTTCACAAGAGTTATGTCACTGCATACAATGGACACTGGGGAAATGACATGAGTCACTTACAAAGTGCTGGGTGTGTGCATAGAGTACATGTGAGCATGTGATCATATACATGACATTCCACACTCCAGAAGGGCACATGCTTACCTTATATGCCTCATTGCTGACAGCTTTGATGTTGGCTTCTCTCCATCTTCCTGGTACCCCATCAATTACCTCACGATAGTTCACATAATAGCCAGTAATTTCAACCCCGCTAGTCTTATCTGGTTGCTTCCATCCAAGAACCATTGAGTCACGAAAACTCTCAAGACAAGTGATATCATAGGGTGGAGATGGTGCCGCTGTTACAATATGAACAGCTTGTGAGTTCACAGAAATGCATTTATAATTCTACATACATTAAACTTGTTTCATTGATACCATGCAGGAGGGTACTAGGTCTTGCAGTAGAAAACTAAAATTTGACACTGATCAATAACTTGGCCTCCAATTTGGTGCATGAGAAAAAAATTAACACACAGTAAAAATTGCTCTGCCACTATTATTCCAAAGATAAGTAGAACCTGACTCCCACTCTCAGGGAAGAATATGTTTTGAAATACTAATAGTAAAATGGTGCAATATCCTGAAGAATGATTTTGTTCCCCATAAGATGAAATATTGTTCCCAAGATAATACATTTTTATTTCTTTATGTGGCTTTGTTTTTGTTTGCTCCCTGAGGAAAAATTGAATGTGTATATCAATTTCTGTCTCAGTTTGCATACTGAGAATTTCTTTATCTTTCCAAACAGAATTTCATCCTTCAGGCACACATACCTCTGTGAGATCTTACAAACTATACAGGTTCTGTCTACACACAGGAAAAATCTTATTCTGGAGCTCAGCTAAATGCCACCTTAAAAATTAAAAAACAAAAACAAAAAACAAAAAATTTAAAAAAGAGGCAAAATCTGCCATGTGGTTTTTCTCTTAGAATATAATACTTTCTGCTGCAGTATTTTTAATTTGATGTTGGAATAGTACTCATATAGCACAAAATGCTATATAGTTGTAACTGGGTTTAGTACTGCCTGGCCAGAAAAATATCTGGAGGCTGTTTAAATGTCTTTCTTCATTTATGTGGCTTTACTGATCAACTTGTCACTCAACTGAAATTATAGTTTGTGATAAAGAAACACATAATTTGGACGGAAATATATCTAGATAGGCAACACTATTAACAATAATTTTCTAAATATTTTGGTTATAGGAGATAAAGGAACTATTTCATTTTTATTCAAAAGGTTCTCAAACTAAGAGACATCTATAATATTTATAAAATACATTTCTCCCCCCCCCATGAAGCTCCTTCATTCTTTACATTTTAAAAATGTTACCTCTCTCTCTTTCTCTCACACACTCTCCCTTATTTCAAGTCAGCATTGAATATGAACTCTCAAATGAATATCTCATCTTGAGTTGAAAGGACAAATAAAGGTGTCAAAAAAATAGGTTACAAAGGTTGGGGGTGGGATGGTAAATAGGGGTAGATGAGAGGCATGTTATAATTTATTAGTACATATCATTTTATTTTTATTTGGCAAGAAAAACATTATCTCCTAGAACATATAAACCACAAGTACCAAATACCCTGGTCAGAAAATTCTAAGCTTGCAGATAAATAGTCTTAAATAAATAAATTATGGGAATGTGGAACATATATCATAGAATTTAGCTGTATGTGATTATAATACCCTGTTAAACTTTTCATGGCAACTCTAAGGGATAATGTTACTGATCTTCATGAGTTAAATGAGGAGAATTTGAAAATCTGAGGATAAACAACAGAAGTTAACTATGATCCTGATAAATGTGACTTCTTTGTGAAGTATTTTTCCTATACATGTACTGAACATGAATGTTTCATAGGACCTCACACAGACTTTGATGATCAAACCCTTCCTGCTCTCCTCTCTAATTCTCTTAGCAAAATGAGGCCAAAGGTGTATCTCCCCGAGAAACCAAACATAACCAAATTACTTTAAATACTACATTGTCATTAAGCACAGTGAAATAGGTATAAAAGCAACCCCACAAAATTACTTTTACCACCCACATGGAAGAATGTGATCTAGATGATATGAGTGAGGACACTGACGGACACAGGTGAACAGTTTTACTCTTCCAGCTCTCACCTATATCCTTCTTCTTTTTCAGAGTGTCAGACTTACTGTTCCCTTTAAGAGCTGCTTTCTGTGGTGGTGGAGTAAGCACTTCCTGAACTGTTTCACTTACTTTACTCACTTCTGTTTGGCCCAGGCTGTGAGAGCTACTGGGTAGTGAAGGGTTGTTAAGTTTGCTACTAAGCAAAGCATCTTTCTTAAAGGTTGGCTGGGAGGTTTCATGCATGCCTGCCCTGGAGTCTGTTAGTCCACCAGGTGTATCATTCAGTTCAGGCCACACATCTGGAGATACTCCTCCCCCTACAATTGCCAGGTGGCAACAGAAACACTTAGCCTGGCATAGTATAAATTGCTCTTATTTAACAGAACAAAGAGAAAAACATTAGGACCACAAACAGAAAAAAAAAATCTTGGTTTAATGGAAATCACTTGGATTTACAAGAAATATGGAAAGCATATGTTTCACGTAATTTACACCAAGGAAACATTTCAACTTCTCCATATTATGGAAAAAGAAGAAATGAAAACAAAAAAACCACAGACAGAACAGGAACCATTTGATTTGCAGTATATGCAAGAAAAAGCAAGCCGCCTCAAACATTTCTTGAAAGATACTAAGTCATATTATTTCACAGAATGGGGTGTGAGGAAGGGCCATAAAGTCCACGAGATATAACATTAAAGACTCTGACTTCATAACAGAATTATGAACATCACTGACATGTTAATGGCCTGAACCTCCCAATTTCAAAGAAACATGTTCAATGTTGCCCATATTATAAGGAATGTTAAAAGGTACTATGGGATGCTAACAGAAGAAAATTGATATTAAATAATCATCCCTTTAAGTATGTGTAACCATATTACAGATTTCATTTTTAGTGTTCCCCAAACTAGCCAGGTCACTTCCCTTCTGCTATGAGATTGGGAAGTACATCATTTACTTACATTAAATTACTTTATTACTGGTTTTATTCTGTTGGTTACTTTGCAAGCAGAGGTGGAACATACAATTAAGCAAACACATGTATCTTGCACAAATTTTAGAATTTATAAAAAGCATATTAATGTGCCATTAGTGAAAACAAGCTAGGTTCTGTTGCAAATGAAATAGCTTTTAGGTATGAAATCTGTGTTATGGGTGATATACCACTTCATTGAATCAGATGACCCTTCACATTCCCAGGATGAGCACAGACTTAGATTAGAGTTTCACACAATGGCAAATATCGGAGAAAACTTGGGCTTATAAAGATGAAAAGGTGCAGAGTCTAGATAATGATCTGTAAGATGACTGCTTTTATGTGTGACAGAGGTCACCTGGAGTCAGAGAAAATGATCATCTGAGGATGGAATTATCAAGCAATATTAGAAGCTTTAAAGAATTTCTAGAGAGGATGGTACCTTCTTTTACAACTTAGAAAAATTCATTTTTTCCCTCTACAATGGTATGCATAAGGGACTTACCAATGGCAGCTTTTACTTCAATCGCTTCTGAATCCTGTGAGTATTCACTAAGTCCAGCTGCATTAACTGCTCTGACTCGGAAAATATAACTCTGACCAGTGGCCAATCCATGACAAGTAAATCTGAAAGGAAAGAATGTTTTAAAAGAACTTCCCTAGGAGGAAAATTACAGATGACTGTTAGCTTAACTGAGTGATCTGGCTTTATGGAAACGATGCATTTTTTAAAAGGAAGAAAAACATGTAGAGAGATCCAGGCAACATGTCCTTCTGACAAAAAGGCAGCTAAGGCAATTTTCTAAACTCATTCTGCGAGACAATGAGGAGTCACGGTTTTCCCCTGAGTAAGTGCCTTAACGTTTCTGAGCCTCTGTGTACTCATCAGTAAAATGGGGATAATAATGTCTACATAATAATCTTTGTGTAAAGATTGGCCATAAAGTCCTTAAAGTACCTATTTCAGGGCCTTGCATTTAACAAATAGTAGGTGGTATTAATAATACTACTAATGGCTGTCTCAGGTATATACTTATGGCTATAAGGCATTGGCTGCTCCTCGCCACAGAAGCTACTTACTGCCTCCCTGCATGTCAGGGAAGGTACAATTACTTGAGAAATCACACTAGAATCTAAAAATAAGATGAAGAAAGACTCCAGAATTACTGTTTAGATATAAGGATCCAATAATGAGGTGTGAACCCATGGGCAGCTTCACACATAAAACCTCACTCTTTAACAGTTATGATGGCTATAAATAGCTGTTTCACGAATCATTGTAACATTTTAATTCATCCTAAGGACTATAATCAGAGGAAGTAACAGGTGTGCTAACGACCCTATTAGCATGTTGAAATATTTAATAAAGACAGCCATAATTTAGGTCAATCCTTCAGGTCAGCTTAGTTCAGCGAATATTTATTGAGCACTTCATGTTGCAGACACTGAACGAGGTATTTTGGATACAAAGATGAATAAAAAATGATGCCTATCCTCACAAAGCTCCCATCTATTTGTGGAAAGTCGGACTCTGCCTACTTCCGGTGAATGTTTCTATGTAGTCCCAGGAAAATGATGGGAACTCAGAGTAAAAATGAAATGAACAAACAGGTTAAAACAATCTCTTGAAAAACATACTGCTTTCCAAAACTTAAGGAACAAAATAGCAGCAGGCTCACAGACTCCAAGAAGGGACTAGAGGTTACCAAAGGGGAAGGGTGGGGGAAGGTAGGGGAAGGGTAGGGGAGGTTGGTTGGGGAGGGAGGGAGAAGGGGATTGTGGGGTATCATGATTGGTGCACATGGTGTGTGTGGGGTCATAGGGAAGACAGTGTAGCACAGACAAAAGTAGTGACTCTGTAGCATCTTACTACACTGATGGACAGTGACTGCAACGGGGTGTGGGGGGGGTTCCATAATAAGGGTGAATGTAGTAACCACATTGTTTTTCTTGTGAAACCTTCGTAAGAGTATATATCAATGATACCTTAGTAAAAAACAAAACCAAACCATACTGCTTTCTCCCGTTAATTGGTTTGTCTCTATTCTCTCATGTTCTATGACAGAACCAACTCATCGTATGGGGTCCTTGGACTTAGAAACGGCCATGCCAGAAGCTGCCTAACAAGCTTGTTTGGCAATTTTTTGAGGGAAATTCTCTTGGACTGGTTGTAAATCAAAGGAGGCTCAGAGCAGGCGCGCAGGCCAGAATTCACCAGAAACCTGCAAACCTGGTTGGTAAAATATTTGAAAGCAAGAAGAAATAATCCTCCCTACATTAGAAACAGCTGCGAAGAGGTGGCCAAGTATCCTGAATGTCCTTGTTTTGGTGTTACTTAGACCCCTTAGCATGAAGTTTAACTATGCTGATACTCAGAATTTGTCAAATGCTGATACTTTTTTTCTGTTCATTGAAAATGCCTGACTAATTTAGGTCGGCTGGAGCCTATTAGTGCCTTAGAATTCAGTATTACATTGGATACTGAAGACCATAGCAGAGGGGTAAAAGGACTAAAAGCGTAAAGGAAAAGAATCAGAAAAGAGATACAAAGTGAACCGTCATCAGAGCTGGCATGCGTTTCTAAGTGTTCAATATCACAAGTAAACCTTTAAAAGAAGTATTGCAATAGATACATTCAGCTTCAAATTCATTTGGATTTTTAAAGTATAGTGTTTCTAAACCCCTCCCTCCGTTGGATGCTCATGCTGCCGCGTTCCCTGGCTCCCAGGGCCCACACGGTGCGTTACTGCGGGCTCTACACAGGGCGGCTGCCGTGCCCCCCAACCCCCGCCCAGCCCCCGCAGTGCGTTACCGTGGGCCCTGCACAGGGCGGTTGTTGCAGGGCTCCCACTTGCCGGAGCCGAGGACGCTTGACTCTATGTAGTAGCCAACCAGCTCTTTAGCATCTTTGGATTCTTCCCACGTAACTACCACTGACGTGTCTGTATTTCTACTTGGAATGATTTTGCCCGGGGCCTTGGGAATATCTGGGAGAAGAGGAAAATGATGATCAGGGTGGTTTTAAAAATACTCATTCTTGGAACATATGCACAAACACAGACACATATACATTTTATTCAAGCAGTCATGTCAAACATATGATTGCTCTATTTTATATTTGTTCAGAAAATAAAAACAATGAATAATGTCAGTTGGGGGCATAATGATAAACTAAATACCCAGGAACACACCAACCCCCTCCACCAAAAACGACATTAGCAACACTGATGAAACTCCTGGAGAGGTTTACTTTTCATAACCTCATAATTCAAAATAATGAATTTTTAATGTATCAGACAAGTACAGTCACTGCGAAGAGGTGGCCAAGTATCCTGAATGTCCTTGTTTTGGTGTTACTTAGACCCCTTAGCATGAAGTTTAACTATGCTGATACTCAGAATTTGTCAAATGCTGATACTTTTTTTCTGTTCATTGAAAATGCCTGACTAATTTAGGTCGGCTGGAGCCTATTAGTGCCTTAGAATTCAGTATTACATTGGATACTGAAGACCATAGCAGAGGGGTAAAAGGACTAAAAGCGTAAAGGAAAAGAATCAGAAAAGAGATACAAAGTGAACCGTCATCAGAGCTGGCATGCGTTTCTAAGTGTTCAATATCACAAGTAAACCTTTAAAAGAAGTATTGCAATAGATACATTCAGCTTCAAATTCATTTGGATTTTTAAAGTATAGTGTTTCTAAACCCCTCCCTCCGTTGGATGCTCATGCTGCCGCGTTCCCTGGCTCCCAGGGCCCACACGGTGCGTTACTGCGGGCTCTACACAGGGCGGCTGCCGTGCCCCCCAACCCCCGCCCAGCCCCCGCAGTGCGTTACCGTGGGCCCTGCACAGGGCGGTTGTTGCAGGGCTCCCACTTGCCGGAGCCGAGGACGCTTGACTCTATGTAGTAGCCAACCAGCTCTTTAGCATCTTTGGATTCTTCCCACGTAACTACCACTGACGTGTCTGTATTTCTACTTGGAATGATTTTGCCCGGGGCCTTGGGAATATCTGGGAGAAGAGGAAAATGATGATCAGGGTGGTTTTAAAAATACTCATTCTTGGAACATATGCACAAACACAGACACATATACATTTTATTCAAGCAGTCATGTCAAACATATGATTGCTCTATTTTATATTTGTTCAGAAAATAAAAACAATGAATAATGTCAGTTGGGGGCATAATGATAAACTAAATACCCAGGAACACACCAACCCCCTCCACCAAAAACGACATTAGCAACACTGATGAAACTCCTGGAGAGGTTTACTTTTCATAACCTCATAATTCAAAATAATGAATTTTTAATGTATCAGACAAGTACAGTCATCAATTAAATTTATAATATGAAGGAAGGATGTCACTTTTTTCATGTCTGAATATTTACATATTTTAATGAGATTCTTGCTTTGGGATTTTCTCTTGAAGTAAGTAAGATAATATACATGTGTTCAACCTAACTGTACACTTACCAAGTTTGTCTCCAACCACGGTCACTTCCGTTGCCTCTGAAGGCTCTCCAACTCCTGCTGAATTAGAACAGCGGACGCGGAAACGGTAGGATTTCCCCTCAGCCAAATCGAACAGGGCAAAGCGGGGGGACTTCACAGGGAGCTCCGTGTTCACCCGCTGCCAGTTTTCTGTTTCTGCATCGCACTGAAGCCAGAAAGGTACAATCCATTGAAGCATGGCAAGAATAAGCAGGAACTCTAGGGCTGCCATCTAGCAGGTTTATTTGTCAATAAACTACTACCTGTTCTGTGATTGGACTAGAGAAGACATTTGGAGGAAATGCGGGATGAAGCCACTGAAGTTTTAGGATTACCTAAGTCAAATATGGCTTTGCATTGTTAGACAAATACACTACTTTAAGGTCACTGACTTTATTAACTAAATAAGGCCATCTGTGTGCTTTAGAGGAACTTTATTTCAAAGATAGTGTTGGGTTCAGATACTTTTCTAATTCTTGGAGTAGGTAATTAAATTTAACATACTATGTTATAGATACTTAAATTTTCATTATGTTGTTATAAACAGTATTATTGTAATTCAGTGTTACTTAGTGACCCATAACATCATTCAGGTTTATGCTCAGATTTCTCCTCACAAAGGCTTTCTTGATCATCTTTCTCTATCACCAATCCAAAAGAGTTCTTTGCTCCTTTCCCATCACTCTCTCTTTCCCAGCTTTATTGTTTTTCAAAACTCTTAAGGCTATTTGAAGTTAAGTGTTTTTTTTTTTTTTTTTTTTTGTCATCTCCTTCATTGGAAAGTAAATTGCAATGAAATGAGTTCAGGGAACTGTCTTATTCACTGCTATACCCCAGAGCCTAGAACTGTACCTGGCACATAGTAATCAACATTTTTTCCCCCTGAATTCTGAATGAAATTAATGAAAGATAACATTTTTTTCTTGCCCATATTTTTGAAAAAATTATGGAAAAACCTAAAGAGATTCTACTCTTAGAATTACAAAAATGTACAGTGACTTTGAAATCCTTGAAAGAAGGATGTGCTATATATTCTCACTTTGGTAGAGACAGATAATATAGTGAGAAAAGTACCAGCAGTCTTCAGTAATCTCTTTTCTCTCCTGCTCTTTCAACTCCATCCAAGGGCAGCAGAAGCAATTTTGCTATAGAACTTTTTACAGTTTCAAGAAGCTTTTCCAGAAATCCAAACCATGTAATGCAGTGACGAGCTGTCAAGGATGATACATTTTTGGGACTATAAGAATACTGGTACCATCCTCGGCATAATCATCATTGACTTGAAATGGTGGAGATAGGGTATGGTGAAAAGGATCCACAAACATCCATTGTGGTCCCAGCTTTGTTAATAACAAGCCACATGACCCTGAGAAAGTCACATGAGTGTTCTTGGTCTCAGTTTCATCATTTGTAAAATAAGTAAATTTGACAAGGTAACTTCTAAAGTCTTTTACAGTGCTTTTCATGATAATGTATCATTTGAGTGTCAGAAGGTAGAGAGGATAAATTCCCCGGAAACAGTCAAACTTCTGTCCACTAGGGATAAAATTCTCCCAGACTTTTAATCCATTCGTTTATGGCTTCGAATCATTTTGACATAGTCTCACCAGGGGAACACATAAGCTATCATCAGTCAGTCATTTACACTTTCATAATAAAAATAACAGTGGCCTTTCCTGTGCCAAGAACTTGATTCACCATTATAACTCTTTAATCTTCTTAACTATGTTCTGAAGTGGGTATTATGGAGGCAGTATTATGTGGTTATCAAAGTTTTCTGGAGAGAAGCCTTAGGCTTGGGAAGGAAGGTTGAAAGGCAGCAATGTGTAACAGTTGGATATATGGACCTGAACCAGACTGATCGGATTCAAATCCTAGCTCTACCTTTTACTATGTGACCTTGAGCAAATTATATACCCTATTGGTGTCTCAATTTCCTCATCTACAAAACAGGCATGATGAAAATAAAAGTATTTCCCTCATAGGGTTACTGTGAGAATTAAGTGGGTTAATATATGCAGAGTACTTAGGATAGTGCCTGGTCCTTGGTAAACATGAACTATTTTCATTCCTGCTTGAGGAAACAGAACTATCGAGTTGATAACGATCCTTATCTCTGACATGACCAGATTTTTGATAGGGGAATGAGAGAAAGAATGAAGACATAAGACACCTGAGAAAAAAGTTGCTGACAAGAACAGAATAGGACAGAGCAGGCAACTAGTTGATTCAATTCCCTTGCTAATAAACCCCTCAAAATCAACCATTTCAGGGTTCACAGACATGATCTAACTGGGTGTGAGTTGTAACCCTGACAGGTAAGTTTGTGCTTTATGTGCATGCAAATCCCAGGCAAAATGTTCTCTGAGGAAGAGCAAGCATAGCGGTAACTGAGGAGGTGTGCATGGAACACTCTGGGGATGGAAACACACCATAGGACGAGAGCATGTGCAACACGTCTCTTTAGGAAGACCAACATAGTAGAAGCTGTTCATCAGAAATACTTTGAGACTCAGCTCAGGAGACTGTTTCGATATTTGGATAGTTCTATAAATGTGCCCCAGGTCTCTGGACAAGTCCTGCTCCCCCAGTACATGACAGTCCTGGGCACTTTGTACATGCCTCTCTACTCCCACTGCCCTCATAAATGTCCCCTCTCTTCCATACTAACAGGTTCACTGGTGGAAGAACACTTTCATTTTTAATCACAGGCTCATAAGTAGGTCAAGAAGTTACAGACTTTCCTGGAGAAGTCAGAATTTACACAACCAGAAGAAATGTTAAACAGAAGCCAAAGCTGACTCATCTGGAGAAAAAGGCCTCAGTGGTAGGTTGTTACTGTGTCACTATTATAGGAAAGATGGTAATTACTGTCACAGAGCTTATTCAAACTCTCTTACTGTGGAGTGTTTCAGAAAGATGCAGTGGGGGTGTGTGTTGTTAAACACACCAGGAAGTGAACTTTTATCACTCTAGTCTTGTCCTCTATTAAAAGAGAAATAGAGGAAAAAAATTTTTTTAATCAAGAATGCTATTTCAGTTATATTTAATTTGGGCTAATATTCAGAAAATATAAAAATTAATAAAAATACAAAATTTTGTATTATTATTATAAAATCAGACTCTCTTGGAAGATGTCCACATTGCAGGCTGAAGAAATGATCCATTCGTTGTTACCAATTTGCTAGTGATAAGAAGTGAGGCATACTCCTTGAAGACATAAGTAAATGTCTGACAACAGACAATAGCATTTTTTATAGCTTGAGTATAATTTTCTCAAAAGTTGCTAATTTGAAATAATTAAAAGGCCATAAAAATAGTCATATATCACTTTTATGTTGTTACCTAATTTGCAGATGTTTGCATATACCTATATACCTATGATATCTATTCTCTTGTAATAATTGTCAGGGAAGGTGACCTAACAAGTATTCTGAAACTGAATGATCAGAAGAGCATTAAGAATAAAAGAGAGAGGCCTTTAGGAAAATTAATTGAGCTCCATAATATTTTTGCAAAAAAAAAAGAACTTTTCTATGATTTTACTATGAAAGTAAAATGTAAATGATAATTTATCGTGCTATCATGCAATTTTATAAAAATGAAATATCCAAAAGCATGCACTTGTTTCATTATTCTAAAAAAATGGTGTACAGCTGACAATAAAAATGTAAATGATTTTACATATAACAAAAAATAAACTTACTTCTGTCACATTTTTTTCAATTATATATGAATCAAAACTTTTCTAACAAATGGATTTTGAACCTCATTTTAAGCAAATTCCCTTTAGATGCCCTTTCCAGTAGCAATTATCCCATTAGCTACACCTTCTTCTACCCTGTAGGCCCTGTGCCTGGCTGGCAGGTGCTCCTATGTGCCTGGCTTGCAGCTGGGGACAGATTACCCCAAACAATGTCCTGTCCAGGTCTTGGCTCATCTCCATTTCCTGGGCATATTTATTAGAACTCCCCACAGATACAGGCATACGATAGAGTCACATTAATTCTTGTCATTCCACCCATTTTAGCCTTCATTGTACACTGCCCTTGCTAACACAATATGATTACAATATAGTTGTGAGATATTTGGAGGAATGACTAGCTAATATGTTATGTTACTTTGTGATCCATGACCCTACCTACTACCTGTGCCTAGAGAAGTGCCAGCCAAGCACCTGGCGGCATGTGAAGACTTTCTGTCTTCAACTCTCCCCGCCATTTGAAAGTATTTTAAAGTGTTGTAACTTCTCTTCCTCTTGCCCATCTACCCTCACTGATGTTCATTCCCTACTGCAAAAGGAAAAGTGGTAGAGAGAGAGGGGAAACCATACAGCAAGGGAGACAGAAAGTATCTAGAAAAGAGTGTCATTTAAGCAATTACAGCTTCAGGAACATTGCATATCTTAGAGAGGTCATGATTTAGGGTCTGTGGACTTCTCAGGAGGCTATGGAGCTTGAGGGACCCATAAACTCCCTGATCTTTCAGGTGAGGATCTGTGTGATACTTATTTTTCTGTGGAGATCTGTCACAGTTTACAAGGGTTTAAAGAGTTCAGGACTCAAATAAAATTTAATCACCAGTTGTTTAAAGAAATCTTTAGGAAATGGCACGAGGTAATAATGTTGATTCCAAAGTCTTACCTTTTCCACAAAGTACAAAATACCCTCATGTCCACGCTGGCCAGGGGGCTTCCAGCTTAGCACCACATAGCTCCGGGTGGCCTCAGTGACAGAGAGTTCTGTGGGGGGCCCAGGAATAATACCCTCTGAAAAACAACAAGGTAAAGTGAGAAAAACACGCTCTGGGAAGCCCAGGACCCTTGAGGGTCACAGATGCCTCCCTCCTACTGGAGGAAGAGTTAAGTACTGCGCTACAGTATAAAGAAGTACCTTGTCTCTAAAATTCTTCCTAAAACATTCATTCATTCATTCATTCATTCATTCAAAGACACATTTTAATTGCTTTGCTTGAAAATTTTAATTTCTTTATTGGTCCTGTAAAGCAGTAGCAATGACACAAGTTATCTTTCTGCATATATTATGTGAGATTTTTTTACAGAGTATCTTTTCAAGGATGTGTGGGTAGCAAAAAACCTTGAATCTATGTAGAGAGAGGATATTTTCAGGACAGAGAACTGACTTGTTTTGTGGCCAGAATAATAAAGATAATGACTTTCTCCAGAAAAAGTTTGGGTAGTTTTGTTAGCAGCCTTCTTACAAGATTGGGGTTTCCTTAAGTGCAAGGTTTCTCGGCTATGAGACAAATCTATGGGTGCAGCATCTATATCACCCTGTGGGGTCTGGGTTGAATCAATGAGAACATGAAGCTCATGTTGTCTGTTGTGCTGTCAGTAACAGCTTTGTTTCTGATCCAAGAGTCTCAGGTCTTTTGCCAGCATCTATGAAGCTGTTGTATGAAACATACTAGCTCATAAATAGGGTAAAATTTTAGATGTTCCACAGTTCTTGACATCAGAGTGACCCTTCCATGTGAAACAATTGAAAAACTGGGCAAAATATATGAAACGACTGTTTACAGACATTGGACATTAGTTGGCATAGGACAATGGTTCCCGATGGATGGGAAACAAATTCAGTGAGCCCTACCATGTCCTAACTGACTGTCTGGAAAGAGTTTCAAGGCAGCAGTTCAGGAAGAGAAGCCCAGGTAGGGCGTGGCAGTCTCCTCAAGTGGAAAAAAGGCTGGGAGTCCAGTGAAGGCAAGATATCCACAGACATGGAGTCCCAGGGTTGAGCACTGGGAGAAAGGGCTGCCAAGAGAGAATGGCTTCAGAGATCTGCAGAGCTCCCTCTGGAGCCTTACCTGCGTACTGACCAGTGCATGCATGCGGGACACCACCTGAGGCTGGGGAAAACCCACACAGAAGAACTGGAGGGAACAATCCTCAATTCATAGGCCCTGGGAGAGTTCATGTTCCCACCAGCCAGAGTGGAAATCTCCTAATTCACGGGGCATCTGGGAGAGTACTCAGAAGGGTATTGTCTCTGTAGTGCAGCCAAATTATCCCTACACGAAAGGCTGCTCTGACTCCATTAAAAAAAAGCAAGCCTTGAAAGGATCAAATTGTTTCCCCAGAGCAAAGCTCCCAAGGATGTTTATAAAAATACAAAAATATCCAGTACCAAACAATGTAAATTCAAAATGTCTGGCATTGCATAAAAAATTATCAAGTGCACAAAGAAGCAAGCAAATATAACACAAAATGAGGAGAAAAATCAGTCAAAACCAAAACCAAAAATGTCACAGATGCTAGAATTAGACAAGGACATGAAAATAGTTATAAATATATTCCATATGTTCTGGATGGTCAAGATTGAACATGTTAATTAAGGCATGAAGATACAAAAATGTACAAATTAACTTCTAGAGATGAAAATTACAAAGTCTAAGATGAAAAGAAAGCACTGGTTGGAATTCACAGCAGGTTAAACACTGAAGAAGAAAATGATAGCAAAAATTAATGACAGCAGTAGAAAGTACCCAAAATGAAGTACTGAAGTATTATTGATATGCAATCTTATATTGGTTTCAAATATGTAACACAGTGGTTCAATAGTTATCTATATTATTAAATCCTCACCCCCACTAGGGCAGTTACCATCTGTCAACACAGGAAGATGTTACAGAATCATTGACTATATTCTTCATGCTGTACTACCATCCCCGTGACCAACTTATATTATTGTTAGGCAGGAAGCCAAAGATAAGTAGGAGGAGAGGTTGGGGTGACCACAGAGAAGTTGAGACTATAGGTAGCTTCCACCAATGAGAAAATCCCTAGCAGGAGAAGTAAAACCACAGATACATTCCACAAGCTATAGCCCAATTGGGCATGCTCCTGGGGTGTCCTAAAGTAACCTTTCCTCATTATAAAGTCATTAAATCTGCATTGTGGTTTTGCCCCCCTTGGTGGGCAATCAGAGAGAATTCTGGGAAAGAGCATGCACAATAGTAATTAAGTTACATCACTGCCAGCCTGTTTGCATAACAATGCCCCTCCTAAAAATCCCTTGCAAACCCCATAAAAATGAACTTTCCCCAAATATTTGGGGCCTCTGACACTAGGTCAAGGCCCGCTCTATCACAGAGCAGTAATAAACTTGTCTGCTTTCTTGACTTTGATTTCACTCTGACTTTGCTCCATCACTGAACTGAAAGTTCATTCCTAACATTATGGTTGAGAATTTTTGTGCCCCTTTATTCCACTTACCCTCCTCACCTACCCACCCCAAACCCTCCCCCTTGGTAACCACAGTCACTTCTCAGTGTCTATGAGTCTACTGCTATTTTGTTCATTCTGTTTTTAAGCAGTCATTCTTATAGCACAGGTCTGCACTACAATGGACCAGCCTCTATAAAGTACTAAAAGAAAAACTATTGACCTAGAATTCTATAACCTATGAACATACACTTCAAAAATGAACATGAAATAGAGACTCAAACATACAAAAAAAATTCATAACCAGCAGGACTGCATGACAAGATTTATTAAAGGAAATGCCTCAGGTAGAAAGAAAATCATATTAGATGGATACCCCAACCTACACAAAGAAATAAAGAGCAACAGAAATGGCAAAAATGTGAGTGAATATTGAAAACTTTTCCTCACTTTTTAAATCTCTTTGAAACATAAGTGACTGAACCAAAGTGACATTATACTGTGCAGCTTATAATATAAGCACAAATAAAATATTCAACAATAGCACCAGGGCTTAGAGAGGGAAATGGAATAATCCTGTTGTAAGTTCTTACATTACACATAAGGTAGTAAAATATTACTTGAATGTAAGTTGTGGTAAGATATATATTATAAATTCCAAACATTATAATGTGAAGCAAAGAATTATAGCTAATAAGATAGCATACCTAAAATGGAATAATAAAAACTACTCAATCCCAAAGAAGGAAAAAGAGGAAAAAGCAAACACATGGAATAGATAAAAAAACAAATAAGAAGATGGCAGATTTAAATCCAATCATATCAGCAATCACATAAAATGTAAATGGTTCAAACACTCCAGGAAAAAGGCAACATTACCAGATAGGATAAAAAGTCAAGACCCAACTACATACTGCCTTTAAGAAACTCAATTTAAATACACACATGGGTTAAAAGTAAAAGGATGAAAATATGTGTCAACTAATCAAAAGGAAGCTGGAATGGTTATATTAGTATCAGACAAAGTAGATTTCCAAGCAAAAAACATTAACATGGACAAAGGGAGTCACTTTATAATAATAAAGCAGTCAATTCGTAAGAGGATATAACAATTGAAATATTTATGTACCTAATAACAGCCTCAAAATACTGAAACCTAGTAGAACCACAAGAAATAGATAAATTCACCATTCAGTCAGCAACTTCATTACTACTTTAGCAATAATTGATGAATCAAGTTGATAGGAAATCATTAAGTATATAAAACACTCACTTGAATTCCCAGCAGGTTTTTGTAGAAAATGATAAGCTGATTTTAAAATTTACATGGAAATACAAAGACTTGGAGTAGCTAAACCAACTTTGGGGAAAACCCCCCAAAAACACGATTGAGGACTTATACTACCTGATTTCAAAACTATGAAGTTGTAAAATAAGAAAAAACAAAACCAACAAACAAAAAGCAAAAGAACTCTGTGAAGCTTATAGAAGCTACAGTAATCAAGACAGTGTGGCATTGGTGTAGAGAAGATAAAACTGACCAATAGAGATTTCAGAAACAGATCCACAAATCCACAAACATACAATCAATTGATTTTGACAATGGTGCCAAGGCAATTCCATGCGAAAAGGATAATCTGCTGAAATAACTGGATAGCCATATGCAAATTTAATAACTTAGACCATTACTTTACACAATATAGAAAAAATTAACTTGAAATGCATCATAGATTGAAATCTAAGAGATCATGCTATAACAAGTCAGAAAAAAAAAACAGGAAAAATATGAGTGAACTCAGATTTGGCAAAGATATCAAGTATGATGCAAAAAGGGCAATGTACTCATGAAAAGATGTTCAATATTATTGGTGAAATACAAATGAAAACCACTTGACACTCACTACGAAATACCTAATGGGATGAAACACCACTCTGCACCCACCAGAATGGCTAAAATGAAAAAAACTGACCACACTGATTACTGGTGACAGTGTGGAGCAATTGGAAATTCATACCCTGCTGATGGGAATGTAAACAGGCAATCATTTCAGAAAATGGTGGTTTCTTCAAAAATATAACATACACCTACCATAAGACCTATTCATTCAACTCCTTGGTATTTATCGAAGAGAAATGAAAGCATATATCAACACAAACCCTTAACAAGAATGTTCATAGATGCTTTTAAACAATGAATGGATAAAGTGCAATGAACTGATTTACACATCGACATGGAGAAAACTCAAAACAAGTAGGTTTAGTGAAGGAAACCAGACAAAAAAGAGTATGATTCCATTTATCTAAAATTGTGGACAATGCGAATTATAGTGACAGAAAGCAGATCACTGATGGCCGGGAGAGAGGGAAGGGGTGGGAGGGAGAATACAGAAGGACCGAGAGAAGTTCAGGAGCAATGGATCATGGTGACGGTTTCACAGTTTTCCTTTGACAATATACGTTACTTCATGATTTCCAAATATTTCAGAATGTTCTTTCCAAAACATAGTAAATAATATTCACTGTGCCCTCTACAACAAAGCTAAACTCCCCAGCAAAACTCTGGCAATAGTATCTGAGGAAAACAAAGCTTTTACCTCTAGGTTCCTCTTCAGTGACAATGATCTGTCCAGTCCAAGGTGCTGAAGGGCGACCTGGACAGAGATAAATATAAAAATGATAAACATTCATAAACAGAGTTTTAACTGCACTGATACACTGGCCAGGTCAGCCACAAATGAATATGTTACTAATTTACTTATGTATTTCCTAATAACTCTTAGTGTGCATTATACAGTATTATGGCCTCAAGTGACTCACTATCTGCTAGAGCCTAGAATCTGCCTGGACCGAGTAGATTCTGGAATTGTACTTACACAAGTGGGGTCAATGACCTGTGTTCACTCACTGTTCAATAGGATCTCCTGAACCATGCAGGCTTTCTTACGCCTTCTTAAGAAATAGGGCGTATTTGGGGGAAGCTTTCTGGAACAATTGCAAGCCCTCTAGTTATTTATTTGACATAATGAAGACGAAAAAGGAGAGGGGCACTGATACTGCAGTAAAGCTGAACAGAAGCAATTTCTTTCCATTTTATTTTGAAAAGAGTTATCTATAAAGGAAACCAGTTTAGCTCCTGAGTAAGGAAAACAGATGAGATGGGCAGTATGAAGTTAAAGAGGAAATTCGTTTCTGTGTCCTTATAGATATCAGAGAGAATCGTTCTATTCTTGCTTTATTCAAGGAACTTTTCACAAGAGTTTGTGCAAAAACAAAGCTGATAAACAAGGTAACTTATTTTCAACTCAAACAAATCTTTTTTTCATTTTGGAATTTATAAAAATGTAGCAAATGAAAGTATGCGATGCAATTAGGAAAGCCGGAGGGAAGGTGGATAGTAGGTGAAAAGGGATTGGAGAGCAATCAAGGAGCCTGATTAGAAAAAATTTCCAGAGAAAAGGCGGCATTACTTTACTTACATTCTTATGAAGCCAATGCATGCACTTTGCGGTAGAGAGTAACGCTACAAATATGGCATAGACAAGCAGCCTTCAACTAGGGTGACTTTGTTCCCCAGAGACATTTGGTCATGTCTGGAGACAATTTTGATTGTCATACAGGGAGAGGGAGCGCTATTAGCATCTAGTCAGTAGAGGCCAGGGATGCTGCTAGACATGTTACAGGACAGCCCTGCAACACAGAATTATCTGGCCTAAAATGTCAATAGAGCCAAGGTTGAGAAGACTGCTATAGACTGAAATATACTGACTTCCAACAATTATTCTAATGCCATTTTATGGTCTCCATTATTGAGGAAGACATAAGGGCTCCCATGAAAGAAATGCAGAGCATAATTCACATGCCATGGTTTTGAAGTTTGAGACATGGAGGCTACATAATGAAAAGATTATTTTTGACTGTCTAATATGGAAACTCAAGAATAGATCAGATAAGATGTTGTAAATAGGCTTTTCCTTTGATATAAAGAAACTCATTGTGTTGCTATTTTAATGCCCTAAGGGACAAATTTAAGATTAAGAAATCTACCTTACAATTTTAAGAATTGAACCAGCAAGAAAAGTGTATTTCAAGTGTGCTAATTAAGTGAGTAAAAACACTCTCCAGCTCTTGATTTCCAATATTCCATTTCAAATACAATGCCTGCAACTCAGTTTAGCAAGGCAAAGTTTTCTGCCTAAAATAAAACAAAGCCTTTGGTGAATATGGATGAGTCAAAAACAAATACTTTTTGTCTTCAGGTTTTCCTCCTAGGTTTTTCTGATCGATAAAAGAATTTCTTAGTCTCTTCTCTCTCTAGTGGAAGAGAGAGGAATTACCTTGCAATGAGATCTATTGCAGTTACATTTAAAAAGATCTAGGAAGATCCTGAAAAACGAAAAATGCTTACTTTTAAGTCTAGCTTTCTCGGCTGGATCCAGAGCAGCCACAGGCTCAGAAACTCGAGATGGTAGACCTATTCCAGTTTTATTCACAGCTCGAACTCGGAATATATAAGAACGACCTTCTATCAATCCAGTGACTGGAAAACGAGCAAACTTCACAGGTATGTCATTGCATTGAGACCAGTTATCTGTGCCCACCTCACATCTAAGGGAAAGAGAGTGATCAGCAAGAATATTAAAAAGGAAATACGGCTAAATTATAGCTCTAGAGCCTGAACACCCATCCAGTTGCTTCAGCTCTTCTCTGTAAAATAGCCAGCTCAAGTGTGCTTCAATAATTCCTTAATTGTACCCACTCAGTTCCCTCAATTGCAGTGTGTCTTCTTTAACAAGAAGATAGAAGCCTCACATCCTTCCTGAACAGATAGATACTCGTCCTTTGAACTCACTAAAAGCGGGCAGCTGAGGGGTTTTGTGTGCTAAACAGAGGAGCTTTGGGGAAACAAGGAAGCAGGCCGGTGTGAACAATCTTTACATTGGAGAGGCTGAAGGGGAGGATCCCACAAACAGCACCCGGCTGATGTCTCCAATTCCACTGTCAGTGACTTGTCTTTTTTAGGTATTTTCTTTTTAAAATTACTGTGGAGAAAGTTAACACCTTAAAAATACCTATTCGTACTGTTGAAAGACCTCACTTGATCACTATATGCTGTGTGGGAGGAAGGGAATATTTGTGTCTTAACAGATAAAACTGATGACACAGGGAAATTCCCAGGCCTGGCAAGGAAAGGACTTGGCACCTCTGATTTCTGACTGGATGCTTTTACAGCAGTTGGTGCCAGGAGATGGGGTGGTCACACCCTGGGAGACAAGAGATGACAGTTCATATCCTGCTCTGGGCTGATCCACAGGGCTTTAGGGGCTCAATGTGTGATTAGGGCTAACTCATCAGTTTTTACGAGCAGAGCCCTGCACTTTTAGGTTATATCACTTCCCCAACATGGCTCTATGTCCAAAATGTATAATTCCCAAATAATTCTCATGGGGGAGGGACTGCCTACAGCAGTGACCGGTGGAGTGGGAGGTTTATCTTCATTTCTTCACTGTCCCCCTTCCATTCTCTGACATAAACAATAGCTATCTTCCTCAACCTTACATAATGTGCTATCAAATATAGCTTCAATCCCTGCCTTCCATACACTTTCCTCAAAATCTTTGCTTTGTAGAATTCTGGAGCTGCTATGGGTAGGGTTCCGTAGCAAGGAGAGAGGCCTAGCAGAGTTCTTAAACTGCCCCATCTCCAGAGATTCTGCCGGGACTCCCCCTCTCCCTGTGATCCGAGAGTGTGCTTCCTAGTGGGGTGGCCAGCAGCTGCTCTGGAGAAGTCTACAGCATGCCGGAGGAGGAAGAACACAAACATACAGCCAGGCTCTTGTGTGAATTCTAGTTCTGCTACCTACTACCTGTGTGACCTCAGACAACTTAGTGTTTCCTCACTAGCAGGAGGTCTTGCTCCAGCTACTAGTTTGCTGTATGTAATAATAGTATCTATCTTTCAGAAGGTGATTTTAGGTTAATAGTTGATATATATAAAGTGTTTAGAAAAGTGCCATGCACATAGCAAATGTTTAGTAAATATTAGCCATAATACGGTCACTTTTATTATGACTAAGACAAGAAAACAAAAGTACTGATTGTCCCTGGTCTTTCATTGGTCAAAGTTTGCAAATCCCTTTGAAATTTACCAAAGACGGTAAGGCAGAAACTATAAGGATGAAAAAGAATCTATCTAAAGTTTCACAGTTCATCATTACTAAATGATAATATAATGTGGAAACATTTAGTGTACAGTTTAATAGTATATATTTATTATAAATATTTTTCTGGATGGGATTGAGCTCAATGGGCATATATTTACTTATTGCTGTAAATATTAAGTTTACACCTTGGTACAAACCCATTGTGCTACAGTGGCACAGATTATCTGTTTCTAGTGGTTTCTGTAATCAAATTTTATTAGTCAAAATGGAAAGAGAATTGGAATAACTATTTGAATAGAAACTAAGTCAGACAATAATATATTTAGGTTGATAATCTGAATTTATTGTCTGTATTGTCTAAACTCACTGTATAATGTGTAAGACCCAATTGCTATTAATATCAGAGCTTCTAAAGTTTTGGAGACTGTAAACAGCAAGAATTTGTAGATGGAACATAATTTAATACTGTTGATATTTGTTATTTCTTTGTCTAACTTGAAACCACACCCTGTGATATAAATAAGATTTTGCTAGTATTTTTGAAATATAATGTTTAAGTTACTTAATATCCTCAAATTACTGACATATTAGCAATATGAACATTAAATATGTTGAATAATAGTTCTTTCATTTCCAAAGCAGCCTCTATTAGGTCTACAAGTTGATAGCATTCTTGCCAATTAGTGGCTTGCATTGGTAGTCAAATTATCTTTGAGAGGGAAACAGAGACAAAGAAAGAGGGACAGACTAGAAAAGAAAATATTTCACCCAGAAATGGTAGGAGAAAGCAGCATGCATCTCTATGACCAAATTACTCTAACTGAAGTTAGGCTAAGTACTAACTTGTCAATAAAATATCCCAGAATAGGACTCCCTCCATCCACAGCTGGCTGTTTCCAAGAGATGATGATATAATCTTTATTGGCATCCAGGCACACCACATCCAAGGGAGAGGCTGGGGCTCCTTCAATTTCCGCATCAGCATCTGTGAAGATACAGAAGGACCCTGTTAGCCCTCTCAGATGTGCTCTGTCATCCTGGCAGGCCAAGGACTTATGAGGTAGGGCAGGTAAATAGAACAAGAGTCATGCCGTAAAATCTACTTAGCCTGCGAAAAAGGCCCAGCTTATTCTTTAACTTAATCTACATGCTGTTCTTCCTCTTCTTCCAGCCCCTTAATCAATTAAAAAACTTGGTAACCAGGACAGGAGATAGGCTTCCAAACTGTGAATGAACCCATGTGGATAAAGAATGCTGAGATTCAGGTCAACACAGTCACATAAATAACTTCAAAGAAATTATGAGTCACCTGTATACATCATGCCTTATGCTGACCCCTACCTAAAAGGCCCTATAAAACCCCAAACCCTAAACCCTTAAGCACAACTCCTCTCTAAGGTCACCCGCACTCCCATCTGAGTGGGTACTGTCTTATATCAAATAAACTTTCTTGTTGCATAAGCTGATTTCATTTGTCTCTGAAATCTTCTCCATGATAAATAAAAGAACTCTCCGACCTCCATCTCTGGTGGTAAATGTCTTTGAACTTTGCTATTTCATTGAGCTTTCTAGTCTTAACATAATTCTTTTCTCTCTCCCTGTTTTATTTCGGACCAGTAGGGAAGGATAAGTTCTCAGAACATAAACTCACTCCATTCAGTGCTCCGTGGCTCCTCCAAATCCTGGGGCGGTAAGGGCTGAGTTCCCATGCTGTGCAGATTCAAGCAGACACTGAACACCAGGTGACCCTGGCTTTAGGGGTCCGCAAGGGATCGGCCCTGTGCCGAGCAGCTCAGTGAGCTTCCTTTTTCTCCCTCTGTTCTTCCTTGCTCTCTGCTGCCTGCACGGCTGCAGCCATTTGCTACTACTCTTGCTTTAATGAATTCTTTCCTTACCTACACTCATCTGACAGGGCTGAGAATTCTTTCTCAGAGTCGAGAATGTCCCCTGTCCAGACTGAGGTTAGTGCACAGGGAGAGACCTCTCCACACACAGCTGCCTGACAACAGTCAGAGCACACATTCCTTACCACACCACCACAGTGGCTACATCTTTGGCCCCAGCAAAGCAAGCTTCAATCTTATAATTTGCTTACCAACATAACAGTATGTTAGGTTTTCACTATCAGTACCAAGAATATTTTGTTAGAAAGGGCTCTGGAAAGGACCCATGACCTTTGCCTCATGGCCCTTGACTACATAAAGTGTTCTGAAAGAAAATAAATATGAAGATGTCAGGGATTGCTATCAGAAAAGTCTAAGGTAAGTTGGGCCAGAAAGTCTGTTAAGATACTTATCGTGCAATGTTATGGAACGAACAGCCCCTTCTGTCACCTGGATGCACCTACAAGAGAGCAAGAACCACGAAGCCCATTCCTGAGTTGGGCACTACTACTGCTTTGGAAGAGAAAGGAAAACATTTATTTCAATCAAATGTTTGTTCCCAAGCTGAAGATACTTGTGAAATGAACTCTGATGCAATAGCCACATCAGAATTTAGTTTATCCCAGTTTAGTAAAAGTCCAGGATTATACAAGAAACAGGACATGACTGTTTGTAAAATGGGATCCTCTGACAGTGGGTCCCCTCAGCACTGTGTCTTCAAGCACAGCTAAATTACTAAATCAGGGATGTTTTTAGGAGGAGAGCAAGGGGAATGAAAATAATCAGTAGCCTTTTAAATGAGAACAATTAAGGCAGAATCCCTGGGGCAAGGGATCCACATTTGCCAACTGCCTCTGATATCTGGTCAACCCTTTCACAATCAAGAGTTAGTAGGAGAGGAAGCTGAGACATGTAGGAGCCACTCACCCCAGGGAAAACACTCCTGTTGACTGAATAAACACATTCTTTTCTTATGAGCTACAATTCTGTAACTCTTATAAAGTACTAAAACATTTGATAACACAGCAGAGATATCTGTATACTTCTGAATTTAGTAAGTTTGCATTACCTGTGAAGAGTTCAAGTCACTTTGATTTTGAACAGTCCTTTTCTTGCCCAGTGAACCTGCAGGAAAGTGTCTCTAGACAACTATCTCCAGCCTGAGGGCTATGGGAGAATGTAACTAAATCAGGGTGCGTAAAATGTAATGTAGAATCCCTGCTTGTCACATGACAGGAAGTCAGCATTAGGTGGGAAGAAACTTCTTTCCTTTCAGGCTTTGAGAGTACTGGATGGTGGGGAGAGGGCCTGCTGATGGTGAAGCCTGGGCAGACCAAGAGAGAGGTTAGAGATGCTGAGGGGAGCAGGCCTATGTGGCAGAAGACATACCCTGGAAAGATGCTCAGCAGCGAGGCGAACAGCTGTTAACTGCTGCAATGTCCTCTTACTAAAGGCCCCTACCATTTTTTTATTATCATGTATTTTACCAACCAGCAACCCGAGCAGAGTTTAGTTCACTGAGCATCCGTTGTAGGTAACAGAGTCTGGCAGATAATAGGCATTTAGGGAGCCATTTTTTGACATTTTTATAAAATTTCTTGGCATACGACATTCATGGGGTAAGCTTGACAGTCTTTCAAAAAACAGGTTCTGTATAGCAGCTGCTGGAAGCCAAATCCCAACACTGTGCTTTGTTCTTCAGACTTGCACTCCTGGCTCCCAGCAGCTGCTGTAGAGTGTCCCACCCACAGCATCCATTCATGCACTGCCAGTCCTCTTCTTAGCCACTGCCCTTCCTTCCTATAGTCCTGAAAATAGTCAAATTTGCTGTAGGTTTGGTTAATTCTGTCAAAGATTAGCCTGCTACACTTCATTTTTGACCACTGACACCAGCTATTAATAACTTTTTCAAAATGTAAATAATTAGATTGTTTTTCTTTATTATAAAAGTAGAGCATACTTATAAAATACATGATACTAAGAAAGTGTTAAAATTCCCTTTTAATTCCATAACTCAGAGATAACTACTATTGTTAGGCAGGAAAATAGGTATGAGTGGGGTGAAAAGAGAATAAGGCCAGGAAAGCCCACTAAAAGACCCTCAAAAGGTTAACCAGTTAAAATTAGAGAGCCAGAAAGACTCAGAGTTAATGAGTTAAAAATAAAAAGCTGGAAGAACGCCAGGAGTAACTTGGCCTAGAAGTTTAAATACTCCCCAGATAAAGAAAAGTATTTCAGCATAGCCTATGCTTTATTGTGTCAATTAGGTCATACCATTGTAAGATTTACTTTAGCCTGCTAAAGGGCCCAGCTTCTTTTTTTAACTTTACCCAGATGCTGCTTTAATCAAGTGATTTGGCACCTGGACAATTGATATGGCAAAGCAAGCCCAGTCATAAACAACTAGTAAAAACAGGAAGGATCCCATTTGAAGATAAGATTGCATTTTAAAACCCAATTAGTTGAAAAGTAAGTTCCTTAACATACTCTTTAGCAAACAATTACTCAGCCCACCTCTGGGGCAGAGCAGGTGGTCTTGTTTGAATGCTCCCAGACCAAGACATTATCTCAAAGAGGAATCAAAGCAGTAAATTTCCTGTATTAAGTCTTAACAAGTCTGCACCCACAGATCTTTGTCACATTCCTGAAAAATCCTT